TTTAGTCCTAGTTCAGTCCTGGTTTATTTTTTGTTTAGTAGTACTTTAGTCCTAATTTAGTTTAATCCTGTTTTAGTTCTGGTTTAGACCTGGTTTAATCCTGGTTTAGTCCTAGTTTATTTCTGTTTTTTGGTCCTGGTTTAGACCTTGTTTCGACCTCTTTTAGTTCTGTTTTTTGGTCCTGGTTTAGACCTGGTTCAGTCCTGGTTCAGTCCTGGTTCAGTCCTGTTGTCCTGTTGTTCTAGTTAAATCCTGCAGTCTGGTTTTAGTCCTGGTTTAGTCTTGGTTTAGTTTTTTCTCTCATTTCTACATGAAAGTGAACACGGGAGGGCATCTGGCTCACAGCGCTGTAGGGGGACGGGAGGACGGGAGGGCATCTGACGCGTGATTGGTTGAAAGCGTTGCGGTCCTGTGGTGTCACGTCTCCTCTGGATTTCCTCACCTCTTGCAGACGGCGGAAAAACTGAAGTGAAGCTGAGCAAAGGGAAAAATCTGTCCATCCTACGGAGAAAAGAGCGAGAGCGAGGGTCTGAACCACATCTGCACACAGCCCACTCTGATTAAAGCCTCAGTCTGGAACTTTTTAGCCAAGAAAAACACTCTGATAAAGGTTACTTGGTGCACGGTAAAACCTTCAAACTCCTGCGTCCTCACTGAGACTGGGCTCGCATCTCCACAAACCTGATTCGTATGTGGTCTCACTGCTTGTTGTTGCCATAGAAATGCAGTTCCTTTGGCTGTAATATCCCGTAGTATGGCATTAAATGTCTATCTGTCTCTGTGGAGAATGTTCTGAAGTGTAGTTTGAACTTTCTGTTTCCATGGAAATAAGTGAGATTTCAGGAGGTTACATACTGTATCTTTAACTAAATGTAATAATAATAATAATAATAATAGTCCTGGTTTAGTCCTGTTCAGGCCTGGTTTAGTCCGGGTTTAGTCCTGGTTTTAGTCCTGGTTTAGTCCTGGTTCAGTCTTGGTTTAGTTTTGGTTCAGTCCTGGTTTAGTTCTGGTTTAGTCCTGGTTCAGTCCTGCTTTAATTCTGGTTTAGTCCTGGAAATTTCATATTTCTTCAATTCCCGCTGTTTTCATAGTTCAAAAATCCATTGAAAAACATTTGTACTGTGAGCAGGGTCGCCTCTCCACAGATCTAACCTGTCACTTGACCTGAAAAGTGACATAGAGCGGCTTTAAAACATGGAAAATATCATTAAAATGTTTTCCAGAGAGATGATCTTAGTTTTGGTTTAATGACATTCCAATCGAAATCAAAATCATCTTTTTATGGACAGTATATGTTTGTACTTTTTCCAAACCCACATTACTTCACAGTTTTGGTTTCCATTTCTAATTTTTGTCCTTTAAACATCCAATATTCACTAAATTTCCTCTTGTGACTCTTGTGAGGAAACAAAATCAGAACATAGATCAGGAAATAGCATCATTAAGCTCTTCAGATCCTGTTAAGCTGCTGTGAACCGGACACTGATGTTTTCAGATCGGATAAATACAAGTGTGAGTTTTGGTGAACAGTGGCTTCTCGTGGTTAACCTGACACTTTACCTGAACCAGGCTCACAGCTGCCCCCTGCTGTGTGCTCCAGGTACAGCAGGACTCTCCTCACCTGGAATATGCACACAGAAGGATTATAAAAGAGTGACGTTTGGATTTGGGTTTGTCATGAATACTTATACTACATCAACAGTACTGCATTATAACTTTATTTGTATATTTGCAGTATAAAATGTGGTAAAAAGTTGGACTATGTCACGTTTTCCCATGTCATTGTTTAATACTGACCCAAAGTCAAAAAATATTTGTTCCAAGGTAATTTGTTTAAAATATAAATCTGTATTTAACTTCAAATTTAACCCTTGAAACTTCATTTTTTGGATGGCAAACACATTTTTTCACATGGCATTTGAAGTTGTGGTGCAATCTCCTTTATTTATGGTTGGGCTCTTGATACTTAAAGGTGCATTGTGTAACTTTTCTGGTGGAGTGTCCGTCACTGATCACTGCTGGTTTCTACGGAGATGTTCCACAGTGTGACATTAAACAGCTCTACCTTACGTTGATTCAGTTACAGGTGGTTTTATGGCGCAGAAATACCTAAAAAAAACTGGCATTCTGACTGTGAGCGGGGTCGCCTCTCCACAGATCTGACCTGTAACTTCATCTGGTTTGGTCTCCATGAAGATAGAAAGGTTTAAAGCCACTCTGAAACATTCCAGACAAAGCAACAACGTCTCCACGGAGAAAAGCGTTTGACAGAAAGTCCAAATGTGTGAATACGGCGGTGCACAGTTTATGGAGGCGCTGTAAACAGCTCTGTTGTTTGGCTGTGGTTCGGTGGCTGCCACATCTGCCCCGGGGCAGTTTTGGGAAGGTGACTTTTAAAATGTATTCCCTTACAGATTACACATTACAGACCCCAAAATGTAGTTTGTAACGTAATCCATTAAATTACTTAAACTGAGTAATGTAATCTGAATACTTTGGATTACTTGATTTGCTGTAGAGAAGCAAAGACGAGGAAATCTTCACATAAGATGTTTTGTCTGCTAATAGAAAATAAAAAGCCCAGACTTTACTTAAACAAATTAAAAATATTATTGATAGAAGACGAGGAAACATGCCCCCGCAGCATGATTTAGTCCTGTTAAATCTTGTTTTAGACCTGGTTTAGTCTTGGTTTAGTCCTGGTGTAGACCTGATTTAGTCCTGGTTTATTCCTGGTTTAGACCTGGTTTAGACCTGGTGTAGTCCTGGTTTAGTCCTGGTTTAGTCCTGGTTTAGACCTGGTTTAGTCCTGGTTTTAGACCTGGTTTAGATGTAGTTTTGACCTGGTTTTAGTCCTGGTTTAGTCCTGCTTTACACCTGGTTTAGATCTAGTTTAGACCTGGTTTAGTTTCTGGCAATGAGTGGAATTACCGAAAAAAAAAAAGAAAAAGAAAAAAAGCCCAAATAGCCCAAAATGTGAACATCTGCTGTGTAATCCATTTATTTCAACAAAGTAACTGTAATCCAATTACCACTCACTGAAACAGTAACTGTAACTGAATACAGTTACTCATAATTTGTACTCTGATTACGTAACTCCGGTACATGTAATCTGTTACTCCCCAACACTGCCTGGGGCAACTATAGGAGTGTGTCATTGCCAGAGATGATGAACTCTTGACTAAAGTCACTCTGAAACAAGACAAGTGCTTCCTGGACTTTACACCAGGAGAGTCAGCAGCACGTAGCCAAGGCAGAGCTACACATGCATGTACTTTTAAAAGCTCCAATTTACACCAGAGGCAATACTGAACTAAATACTAAACTAAACTTTTTATATTGTTTATGTAGTGTATTGATTGGACAAATTCTGTTTAAAGTCACAAAACAGAAGTTGACAACAAGAGAGACGATGTTTTGCTGTGATAACTGAGCCGTATCTGTGGTGACTGAAGCTACTCACCATTTCACTTCGGTCGTCTGCACCAGGCGTCTTTTCCTTCAGAAGTTGTTCTTGTAAAGTTTTGTTTGATGTTGTAAAGTGTTTTATATTTATCTTCCACGGCTGTAAACTTTCTGTAGTCCATCGTGAGTCATTCCCCGAGCTCCTGATGCGACGCACGGTGTTTATGTGACTGTAGTGGTTTTACAGAACGTATTTTGAAAGGGCATTGGACGTTTATTTTGACATCACGTGCTTATTTCATGTCTTGTCCCTGATAAAAAGCCTGGAGACGCTCGGTTGACACTGCAAAATTAGAACTAAAACCTTATCTGAGCAGCACGTAGTGTCATGACGACCTTTGGATGTGTGTATGACACTGCTGGTGTAAATTGTCCGACCAGTTAAAATGGAAAGCATTACTTGTGTGGATGTTGTGCTGCTGTGCTTACCCACTGTTACTTCTTTGGTGTAAATTAGGGTTATACTCCAGTGTGTATACAACAGTAATGCTCGTAACATGTCCTGGTTTCACTGAAAAGCACTTTGGTCACCCTGAGTGTTGTCTGTAAATAAAGACTGATTGGCTAATTTGCCTTTTAACACTGCATCACTCCCAACTGTTGCTCAGCCTCATTCATCAGTCAGTTTCACTTCGTAGAAACTGTCTGACGGATATTTTTTATCATTTAACCAATAGCTGCTATTTGGTCGTGGCGTATGTAATGCGCCGCTAACGGGACTAACTGGTATATTAAGCTTTTCTCAAATCCTGTAGGAAGAAGGACAATAACGTCTTTCCCCTTGATAAAATTCATCAAACATTCTCTTTGTTCCAGCTTTAAATCCTCGATCTCAGGAATCGTTGCCAACACAAAATATATGGCTATTCACTGATTGGCTGGTGCCCCAACTTGCACTTCCAGGGTTTTTGTGAACCGTCTAGAGCAGACATGTCAAACTCAGGCCTGGGGGCCAAATTTGGCTCACGATATAATTATATTTGGCCCGCAGGATCATATCAGTTATGTATTAGAGCTGCCCACCGGCTACAGATAGAATATAGAGACATTATTTTTTTAAATGTTGTTATTTTATATTCTGCTTGTTCTGGATTCAGCGTTTAAGCAAAACTATTATTAAACATTTATTTTAATAAGAAAAGGTTTAACATTACATATTTTGAAAGAAGAGAAAACCTTCAGATGTTGTTGAAATTTGGTTTGGCCCACAACTTAGTCCCATTTTTAAATTTCGGCCCTCTGTGAATTTGAGTATGACACCCCTGGTCTAGTGTATTCAGTGTGTTCTGATTCCTGACCTAGTGGTTGGAGAGAAATGAAACTGAGCGAAGACACTAGGTGGCGCCAGCTTGGATAAATGTTGCCAGCAGAAGGAGACAAACATTATATTCAAGTTGTGTGCGTTTGTTGTAGTTTTGGGATATAGATTGTTAAATGTGAATGTATAATGCAATTTAAAGGATCTGTGTTTACAAAAAGCGTTAGAAAAAATGACTTTAAATGAACTTTTCCTCGTGCTCTTGCTGTTCCAGATGACGATAAGCCGTGCGAGGCGGACGGGCAGACGTACACAAACAGGGACATCTGGAAGCCGGAGCCGTGTCGGATCTGCGTGTGCGATAACGGGCTGGTGCTGTGCGACGAGATCCAGTGTGACGACGTGGTGGGCTGTGACAGGACCGTGGTGCCCGAGGGGGAGTGCTGCCCCGTGTGCCAGGACTCCGGGAGTACAGGAGGAGGAGGAGGAGGCCAGGGAGGAGGAGGAGGAGGAGGGAGCTTCGGTGAGTAACGAATTTACCGTATTTACAATGTTTAAAACAAGTGTGTACTGGAATGGAAACAAAAACATAAAATCAAGTAAGTAAGAAATAGTGAGGTCAAATCTCATCTTGTATCTCATCTCGTCTTGTGGAAATTGTCTCGTTCAATCAGTTCTGTGGTGAAAAAAGAAAAAAAAAACAACAACTCTTGAGTAATATCTTGAACCACTTCCTTGTACTTTTAGTTGAGCAATATTATTCTGAAGTAACTGTACTCTAATCAGACTACTTTTGGCCACTCCACCACCGTTTATAATTATAATGAGTCTATTTATACTGTTTTAACTTTTTCAGTTCACCTTCAGCATATTCACTTTCACTATGACACTAATAATAATGATGTGTTTTGTTTCTTATGTTTCAGGTGGTGGAAAAATCTATAGGGTAACTCACTCTCTCACTTTTTATTTATCAAATAACTCTTGACTTGGTTTAACGTTGTGTGTTTTGTCTCAGGGTCAGAAGGGAGAGCCTGGAGATGTACCTGTGGTAAGGATTCTGTTATATGAAGTATTCATGTGGAATACTTTTATTTTTTTTATTTATGATTGAGTGAAGGTTACATTGATTCTAAATGTCTCCACAGGTGACTGGGATCAGAGGGCGACCTGGACCAATGGTGAGACACACTCAAACTCACAATATTGATTGATTATAAACCTGTTTTCAATAAATGATGCATTACATACCCACTTTATTTCGGAAGTTTCTATGGACGCTGCCATCATCATTGTCTTATTGTGTAGGGGACAGCAGATAAGTTCTACTGTATATGGACTATAAAGACGCTTTAAAGCCTCCAGAGAATCTGTGACTTGTTGGTCACATCAACACAGAACATTTTCCCAAATTCCCCATTGAAATAAATGGGATTCCCGTTTAACTGGAAGTGCCACGACAAAAGAACACGGTTTATGAGACAGAAGCAGGCAGGGTAGTAGTATAGTAGTAGTAGTAAAAGTAGTATAATAAGTAATAAGTACTTAAGTAATGCTGTTGCTGTGCTTAGAATGTTCCACAGTCTTGTATAAAACTTATTCATCACCATGGAGACAAGCAGTTAATGCCACCAGGCCATTTTATGATTTATTTTATTTTATTTTATTTTTTTCCTTTATCTATATCTATATCCATCCATCCATCTATCTATCTCTCTTTCTCTCTCTCTAAAAAATATTTTCATATATTTGGAAAAGTTTCAGCTCATTGACTCTAGATGGCAGTAGAGCCATCTTCCTTCTCTCTTCCACCCCTCCTCCTCTCTCTCTTTCTCTCCCTCTTCCTTCCTTCCTTCCTTTCTTTCTTCCTTCCTTCCTTCCCTCCCTCCCTCCCTCCTCCTCTCTCTTAATTCTGTCACTTTCTCTCCTTCCTCCCTTTTTTTTTTTTCCCAAACTCTGCACTAACTATTATTATTATGATTATGGTGATGACTATTTTGATTTTAAACTGTTTGTTTGTGTTTTCCATGTTTCCAGGGTCCTCCAGGATCTCCAGGACCCAGAGGACAACGCGGAAACAAAGGACGACCGGTACGACCCCGCCGACTTTTACTGGAGGACTAAAGGGTGGACTAAAAATGGGAGTCGGAGCTGCTGATAGCCGATATAAAAGCCGATATAGTTAGTGATGTAAAACTGTAAATCTTCAATTGATTATAAAACTTAGGTCTGCCTCTAAATGACATTTGTTTAGGTGACATTTACTCTTATTGTGCATCTTTATGTCATATTTAAAGACAGTAGGTTGGACTAAGGACATTTTTACATCACATTCTAGCCAGTAAAAAAAGTAAAAACTATTGCTATTAGCCTTTATTGATAAATGTGTGTGTGCTGAGGTAATTAATTATATGCGTAAATGCCAATCATTCACACCTCTATTCACAGCTCATTTATATATCAATGCAGGTGCAGTAACATGTACAGACATTATAGTCACTTTACAGTCAGCCAGTGGAAAAGAAAACAGACTGTTTATGTGGGAGCTACAGCAGTGAAGCACTAACCAATGAGAAAGAACCAAAAGTAGCTTCAAAACCGACACATTTGAAGATTCAGCCTCAGACAAGCTCTTCTCAGATCACAAATCTGCACTAATAAGTGTCCTTTTAATCCTGACTCAAAACTATTGCCCATAAAAATAACAGAATCCAGCATGTTGACAGCAGCTGTGTGTGTGTCCTCTGTCTGTGGGACAGTCTTCTGTCTGTGGGACAGTCTTCTGTCTGTGGGACAGTCTTCTGTCTGGGGGACAGTCTTCTGTCTGTTGGACAGTCTTCTGTCTGTGGGGACAGTCTTCTGTCTGTGGGGACAGTCTTCTGTCTGTGGGGACAGTCTTCTGTCTGTGGGACAGTCTTCTGTCTGTGGGGACAGTCTTCTGTCTGTGGGGACAGTCTTCTGTCTGTGGGACAGTCTTCTGTCTGTGGGACAGTCTTCTGTCTGTTAGACAGTCTTCTGTCTGTGGGGACAGTCTTCTGTCTGTGGGGACAGTCTTCTGTCTGTGGGGACAGTCTTCTGTCTGTGGGGACAGTCTTCTGTCTGTGGGGACAGTCTTCTGTTTGTGGGACAGTCTTCTGTCTGTGGGGACAGTCTTCTGTCTGTGGGACAGTCTTCTGTCTGTGGGACAGTCTTCTGTCTGTGGGACAGTCTGTCTGTCAGTCTGTCTGTGGGACAGTCTTCTGTCTGTGGGGACAGTCTTCTGTCTGTGGGACAGTCTTCTGTCTGTGGGGACAGTCTTCTGTCTGTGGGGACAGTCTTCTGTCGGTGTCGTCAGTCTTCTGTCTGTGGGGACAGTCTTCTGTCTGTGGGGACAGTCTTCTGTCTGTGGGACAGTCTTCTGTCTGTGGGGACAGTCTTCTGTCTGTGGGGACAGTCTTCTGTCTGTGGGACAGTCTTCTGTCTGTGGGGACAGTCTTCTGTCTGTGGGACAGTCTTCTGTCTGTGGGGACCGTCTTCTTCGCACTTTGATAAATACAGTAGTAGTTTTGTTTCTGTGCTGAAGTTCACTTTTATTTATGGTGAGTTTGAGATCAGACACAAGAGCGTAAAGCAGTGCCTCAGTGTGGTGCACGTGGATCTATGTCTGTGCACAAGCACATGTGAGTGACATGACTCTGGGGTGCGTTCAGGGGCAGTAATATAACATAAGTAATTATAAAGAGAGTTTAAGCTTTATAATAAGATATAACCTGCCCACGTGGACTACTGGCCCAGATCGGCAAGATTTAGGCCTTTAGCCAATGTGCCTCCAAGTGCCCATATAGACTGATAATATCGGCCAACCGATATATCGGTGGGGCCCTAATCAGAAACACAGGCTGTAATCAAGGCAGTGCTGTGTGATGTCATGTAGTACTTAAAGTTGCAGAGGCCAGACTCAATTAAGACGTTTTTTGGCCAGAAATCTGTAAATGTACCAAGTCTGCACCAATACTGCTAAGAAAAAAAAAAAAAAAGAAATCCACTTGGGGACAGATAATGTTCTTAAAACACTATGTAAACAGTTTAGTAGTGTTTAGTTTCCTTTAAGAAGTTATTCAACTAGACCGAAGAGTTCATTGCAAAAACAGATTTGCAAAAACAGCCATTTGAAAAAATAAAAATAAATAAAATAAAATAATAATAAAAAAAAATCACAGGAAGCTTTTGGTTTATTTTCATCACAGTAATATTTTCAAAAGCCAAATCTATCAAAAGAATTTTCCAAAACAGTGATATCAGTTTTTGCAATTGAGCTCTTCACAGTGTCCTCCAGTGAAGACTTCAGCTCATTTGTTCAGTCTTTTACCGCACCCACGGCTCCCTCCACTGTGAGATCTGCCAGTTTTTATTGATTTCAGTGTGACTCAGTAAAAAAACAACAAAAAAAAGCAAAACAAAACAAAACATAGAGACAGAAATGGAGTGGAAATGACAGCGCTCCAAGAAACCACAGAGAGACTTATGATTTATCTGCTTGAACCTAAAATAAAGGACCATTGTTACAGCTGTTTATACGAGTTGTTGTGTCCTTAGGCAAGACACTCCACCCACACTGCCTTTTACGACATGGTGTGAGGGTTGGTGGTGGATGGAGGAGACGGTGGCGCAGATCGGCAGCCTCACTTCTTGCCAGTGTATGAATGAACAATGTCAATCTTTGTGTTTTTGTCCAGGGTCAGCGAGGCCCCGCGGGTTACGATGGAGAGCCAGGTGTTCCAGGAAACCCAGGAGAGGCCGGACCCCCAGGACACCCCACTCACCAGGGGGTAAGACGGACTCCAACTGTATGATTTATAGAAGACGTGTTACCTTTGTCTTAACCCTGTGGTCTCTGGGTGATTTGGTAATAGAAACATAAACATAAATGATCTAATTCCTACAATGCGCTCTTTGGTGACATGATTCAGTTTTTTTTTTTAAAGGTCCTCTATTGGCTCTTGTGAGCTTTTACTCATGTTCTAATGTTGTTTCGTCCTCAAAAACAGACCTGGAGTTGTGTTTTGTTGAGTAGGTGTTATGTTTGAGTATCTTTATTATTAGTCTTTCTGCATCTCCAAAGCTCAAAGTGCTCTGTTCCACCTTGTGAAGAAGAAGATGAAGATGTAGTTTTCAAGTGAACAGCTCCTTTTACCTTAATTTCAGTAGCGAATGGAAATTCCAGGACTGAAATAGACCATTTTCACAACAGCTGGTTAAAGGGACAGTCCGGAATTTTGGACATAGGGCCTCATTTCCTAGTGAGCCAGAGTGTTGGAGACGTGTGGAGACACTTTTTGAAATATTCCATCCAGTCCTTGTATTTGCAGAGGTCACTGGTGCTAGGCTAGTGCATGTCAATGGCCATAGTTAGCCTTCCACTAAACCACTCCACAAAACACCCGAAACAAATCTATTATTACACCAGACTGTCCATGTGAATGTCTGTGTTCATAGAATCATTTTAGAAGTAAAACCAACCAGAAAGCTTAGCAGTGGCGGACTGATATATGAGAAAATAGTCCCTCAACATGTGACAATTCATGCGATGTGAGGTTAGTTTTATTTCAAACATTTATTATATATATATATATATATATATATATATATATATATATATATATATATATATATATATATATATATATATATATATAATATACACATACCTCGATACATAGGCCAGGGTACGATACATACCTCGATACAGTGCACTTTCAATTTGATATATCTTTCAAGTCGAATTCAATACAGTTCAAGAAGATATACTAAAAGATGATAAATAAATAGATGATACTTTATTAAACCACTTTATTAAATCACTTCTTGTGCAAAGTTCATATGAAACACAAACATTTTAATCATGAAAACTGTGAAAATGTCAAATGTGTCGCATAAAGTCACAAAACTGTAGCTGTAACAAAATAATTATAATAAGACAAACCAAAAAATACTCTTGGTGATATATCAGTATACCAGCCCACGATATCGATACTGTATCAGCACATTAAACGATACTATATATCAATATTTTGATATTTTTGCACACACTTACTATCTATCTATGCTCATATCTACATCATGAAATCAATTGTTTATTTTAATTCTAGAATCAGTCTGAGTTAACAAGTCACTTATTAATGAATTACTTTTACTACTTAAGTTTTATTCTTGGTTATAATGTTAATTTTTCTCACACTGCAAAAACAAAAAAGAAATCTAGCCAAGTTCAGATGACTTGAATTAAGAAAGTTTTTGTTTTGTTTGTTTTTAAGTAAATTTCACTTGACAAGTAAAAGTATCTGCCAATGGAATAAGACTTTTTGTACTTAAAATATGAAAATACATCTTGTTACACTTAAAATAATAATAAAAAAAAAAAACTTTTTGCAGTTGAAATAAGAAACACAATCTAAAAACACACTTATTCCATTGGTAGATCATTTTACTTGTCAAGTTGAATCTACTCAATAAAGTTTTTTCCAGCGCAGGAGTAGTTCACTAAAGCATTGTCATTGTTCGCCTTTAAGTTTTCGTCTTTCTTACCTTGATAGTTGTGGATAAATTCTTCATTTTTCGACCTTGTTGGTTGAAGATTTGGTGATGGGGCAGATTTATGAAGCTGGTGGAAAATACGTGAGACATTTCCACAGATATTTTGCCATAGAAAACCATTAACCGGAAGTGATGTTTACCCTACATCCCGGCGCTTCCGGACGTTGTGAAAAAGGTCTAAATCCAAATGATTCTCGTGAAGGTGTATGCAGTTTAAAAACACAGTGGAGCACTTCCTGAGAGAAGAACCCACCCTAAATATGCAAGGTTTGTGAGTTTAACATGTGTGAATGAAACAAAACACAACTCCAGGTCTGTTTGTGACGAGGAAACGACATGAGAACATAGATCATTTTTGCAGCTCTATGCTGAAACACAAACGTTTTTCTTCTCTCTCCTATTGGTCAGTATCTGTCATGCTCTGAGTGATTGACAGGTGGATTTAACCAATCACAGTGAAGTGCAAACTCAGCTTTAATTGATTAAATTATGCGTACATCAAAACTTTTCACATTTTGGTCTATATAATGTATGTACAAGAGAAACTTTAATATCATTTTAATATTGATCTTTTCTTTCAGGGTTTGGGAGCTCACATGACTTCAGGATTTGACTCGAAAACCGGACCCCAGGGAATGCTCAGTGGATCAAGAGTCAGTATTAGTACATTTAAATTTGATTCTATTTGTATTTTTTGATTTTAAATACATTCTAAACAATATTTGACTGTTTAGGGAGAAGCCGGAACCAGAGGACCTCCAGGACCAAACGGATCCCCTGTAAGTCCAAAGTAACTGTGAGAAGATTTGTTCTACATGCATTTGACTTATAACATTCAAATACATGTAGAACAGTTCTTATCACAGTGATATTTCAGTCTTATCATTTGTATCTAACCTAATTAAAATGTCCAACTACACACATTTGGTCAATTCTCTTCACATCTGACAAAGAAAAAAAACAAAGACAACAAAGAGTCATTTTCATTCTTTTATTTGTTTCATTCATGAAAATGAATACAAAATAATCATGTTTTATGCTTCAATGTAGATGAAAAGGAGCAGAAAGAAGTTTAGACCTGTAATATCTGCCCCTTTTCACACAAAGTAAAACATTTCTAATGCTTCAACAATTACAACTAGCAATTTATTTACTTGACATACACAATGTGAAATACTTAACACAAAAGGACAGTTTGTACTTTTGGTAACACTTTATAATAACTACACCTTACTTAGCCTTAATAAAGCATGAACAAAGACTTAATTAATAATGAACAAAGATTTAATTAATAATGATTCACACTTAGTAAATGCTTAATAAAGCATAATTTGTCTTCACTTTAGAAAAGCTCTCAGAAAGACTTAACTAACAGATAACAGCTGCCTGAATGATCATTGCATTGTATTATTAGTAAATCATTCTCTCATAGCTTATTAATCATTAATAAATGCTCAAATGGTTAGTCCATGAGTATTTTAAGTATGAAATAATTATGAGTAACTATTTACAGCACAGGCAAATTAAGTGCAAGTGCTAATTAAGGTAGTAATTAAGTAGTTACTAAGCATGAATCATTATTAATTAACTCTTTCTTCATACTTTATTAAGGCTAAATAAGGTGTAGTTATTATGAAGTGTTACCGTACTTTTTTTAGCTCTTCATGCTTGACATTTTGTTTAAACACTTGACTAGATTTTGAGGCTTTGATTTTTTCATTTAGAATTTCATTTAGGTCACCAAACTTATTTCTCTGGGGGTCACATTATGGCTCCAGAACGGTGATGGGGGCCGGGGTCAAGTCAGGGCCGTATAACAGAAAAGTTTGACCCTGACGACGCAGATTATATTCTTTGAAAACCACCCCATTTTCTTTACATATTGAACAAACTGTAAGGTCCTTACACTGAACAAAAAAATAATTGGTTGTCCACTGTTCTTTGAAAACTCGGAACTCAACTTTTAGAACTTTAACACAATTTTGCTGTCCTTAAATGCACTACAGTACTCTGCAGTACACAACTCTGCACTACACAACTCTACACTACACAACTCTACACCACACACTCTACACAACTCTGCACCACACAACTCTACACTACACAACTCTACACAACTCTGCAGTACACAACTCTGCACTACACAACTCTGCAGTACACAACTCTGCACATGCATCGACTGTCGCTGTTTTCATCAGGTGACGAAAATTTGGCGGCAAATTCGGAGGCAAATGTAAATATGTCATTTCAGTATCATTTTTTTTTATTGAAAAAAATCAACAAAATACAAGATGCAGACGTGTTATTATTTGCCAAAACGTAAAAAAAAAAAAAAAATAGACCATAACACTTTTGAGGATTGTCTCATAGGGCCAGTTCATGTGGTGGGGGCAGAGGGGCTGGGGGCCGATCAAAGTGGGTGGAGGACCAGAGTCAGCCCGCGGGCCTTAGTTTGATGAGCCCTGATTTAGACTGTTCCATAGGTTCACACCTTTAACTGAAACACATTTTTCCATTCAATTGCTTTCAAATTATAATGACTTTCTCTCTTTGTAAATTTGTGGGCAAGATCTGCTGATTTGCTTTGTACATAATTTTTTAAATATAAAGTTCTACCAAGTTGTTGAATTTCATGATCTGTAATTATGTAAATATTGTTTGTTGAGTTTCTGTTTCCACTTCCACTGACCTCTCTTACAGCTCTTTTCTGTAAAAGGAACACTGGATTAACTTCCCTAAACTTCAGTTCAGCAGATTAAATATTGAACAATCAATGAATTATACAGCAAATAACCTCATGTAACACAGATATTACTTGGGATCATTTCATTTGGACTTAACCTGAATGGGATTTCCATGTCAGGTGTTCATTGATCATAACACACAAACGTTTGAACTCATCTGTCCTCTCTGTGTTTTTAATGTGGAATTGAACACTTTTTTCCTACTTAATACCATGAATTTTGTTTTACTGATATTTAATGACAATCTATTATAATAAAACCAAAAGAAAAACAAACAATCCAATTAAAAAAAAAAACATGATTATTTTTTCTAAATCCATTGTTTTGTGTTGTAGGGTCAGTCTGGACCTCAGGGACCTCCTGGAGATGTGGGTGACCCTGGACACATGGTGAGACCTTTTACTTTTATGATTTTCATTTTGTCTTAACGTAAATAAATAATATCTGGATTGTAACACAAACAGTTTGAACGTGAATGTGTTTCAATGTGTTTTGTGTTTGTAACAGGGGCCGTCTGGTCAGAGAGGACCCGAGGGACCAGCTGGAAAGCCTGGTGAAGATGTGAGCAAAACATCACTTTTTTTTTTTTTCTGAATTAACCTGTATGATCAACATATATTATTATTTTTGGATGATTATTTTTAGTTTGGTGGAGGGTCCCTCAAATACTTTTCTCCATGGAGATGTTAATGCTTTGTCTGGAATGTTTCACAGTACGACATTAAACTTTTCTATCTTCATGGAGAACAAACCAGATCCAAGTTACAGGTCAGATCTGTGGAGAGGCGACCCCGCTCACAGTCAGAATGCCTGTTTATCTGGCTATGGCGAAGGAGAAATTCAATTTGTCAACTGGACAAACGTTTATTTAGGTTGAAAACATTTTGCAGCTTCTTCGGTTCTTCAGAAGCAACTTGGATGAGCTGTTTTCAACATAAATAAAGGTTTGTCCAGTTCACAAATTGAATTTCTCCTTTGCCATGGATTCTACCTGGACGACTGAGGGGTTCTACACATATTTTTGAGCTATAAAACCACCTGTAATAGGCCCTATCCTCACTTACGTCACAAACCAGGAAGACGTTTAGAAACATGCCATGACAACTTCCTCTGGGCTCTGTTCGCAGTAGTAAGTTTGACAAAATCTAGGAAAAATGAGAAAGTGTCCCAGTTTTCTTCATCTCCATGTCATTGTAGTGTTCCCTTATGTTCGGCTCATCAACAATACACGCATCAAGAATGTCAGACTTCCGGTCATTGCGCAGTGCAGACTGGGAAGGATTTTTCGAAAAAGTGAGCATCAAACCGCCATGTTTGTTTTCCCAGTGGAATGTGTCTATTGACAAAGTCTTTTGAACCATGTCGCTTTTGTTTCTGGTTCTGATATTGTCATATTTTAGTTTTGGGATTCGGACATTGTTAATTGTGTGGTTGTTGGATCCTAACAGCGAAAACGGCTCGAGAAATGTGTTTGCGAACTCCATAAATGCAAAAGTGAATCAGATGTGTGTGACTGCAAACCTCTGTTCAAACTGTTTCTTTTCCCCACGGAATTGAAAAATAGTGAAAGGTGAAGGTGATGGGCAGGATTGATCCACAGGAAGAACCAAAAAGGAAACATTTGACTGATTAAATCATCCTGAGTTTACAGTGAACATTTAGTATGTGGAACATCAAAGCAAAATTCTGATCCTTCACTCAGTCTTGGTTATGAATTTAAAAAGTCAACGTAAAAGCGAAAGGCACCAACTGTTCACCAAGAAACACCTTCCACTGCAAAGAGACCAAGATGTGATGTTGCTGTAAAACCACAAGAACAAGAAAGTGCAGCTCAGTCTGTTTGTCTTCTGTACCTCTCACTTAACAAACAGGATCCTGCTTTGTTGTCGCTCCACATACAAAATGTTCGCTGCAAACTCACGATGATTTCAACAGTCAAATGTTTCCTTTTTGGTTCTTCCTGTGGATCAATCCTGCCCATCACCTTCACCTTTCACTATTTTTCATTTGCGTTGGGAAAAGAATCTGATTCCCTTTTACATTTATGAAGTTTGCAAACAAATTTCTCGAGCCGTTTTCCACTGTTAGGATCCAACAACCACACAATTACGATGTCCGAATCCCAAAAGTAAAATATGACAATATCAGAACCAGAAACAAAAGTGATATGGTTCAAAAGACTTGAAAAGATCGGATTTGTCAATAGACACATCCCACTGGGAAAACAAACATGGAGGTTTGATGCTCACTTTTTTGGAGAATCCTTCCCAGTATGCACTGCACAATGACCGGAAGTCCACGATTCTTGATGCGTCTATCATTTCAGCTCTGAGCACACTGGGTACATGCGATTAGAAGAGATGAGGGCACTAAGTTCAAGATGATCTTTATTTTACCGCTGATCACATTTACTTCAGTGGGTTTGATCAGTGGGTTTGTAATCCCATCTTTCCAAATGTCTTCCTGGATTGTGACGTAAGCATGAATAGAGCTTATTAACTAAATGTAAGGTAGAGCTGTTTAATGTCATTACTGCAGAGCAATGACATCTCCAGAGAAACAAAAAGGTGACGGACCCCCAACTAAAAAGTGACATCTTTACACAATAGCTTTAAAGAAGAAGAAAGTCATAATTTTCTTATTTACATTGATATTTCGTGTGATTTCAGGGTGAAGCCGGAAAAGCTGGAAACTCCGGAGACAGAGGCTTCCCCGGATCACCTGTGAGGACGCCCACCTTCTCTCACGTTTGAAAAAAAAACTCACAAAAAAGACTAAATCAAATCTTCTTTCAGGGTTCCCGTGGATTCCCTGGCACCCCCGGACCTCCTGGACTCAAAGGACACAGGGTGAGTTCAGTCGGCGCCTTAAATGATGAGCGATCTTTAAAGGTTTTTCCACTCTTGTAACTTTTATAATGACGTATTTTCAGGGACACGGCGGACTCCAAGGACAGAAGGGAGAGACGGGAACGGTCGGATCCAAGGTACGAGAAAATATGACACGTTTTGTTGTATCTCCACTCAGCTCTCAATAACCATGCAGACTTTTCAATCAGTTTTTTTTTTTTTAAGTGAAAGTGCAGCAAAAGTAGATGTTTTTCCCTTCAGATCTACACTTTTAGATTGTAGATGATTAAACTTTAAAATATGTTAAAAGCCAGTGTAAATGATATGTCTCCTTTATTGAATATCTGACAGTATAATGATCATATTATGCTAATGCTTGTGTCCTTAGGGTGCTACAGGTCCCTCTGGTCCCATGGGCGCTCCAGGACCAATGGTGAGTTTAATAGTTTTCTCTAATCATTCATCTGAAGCTCATTATGTGTGTCACAAAACATAGATCGTACTGACTTATTGTACTGTGCTAGGGCCCCGCGGGTATGCCTGGAGAGAGAGGTCGTCCAGGACCCGGTGGTATCCCGGTAAGTCTCTTTATAAATGATCACTGTCACTTTAAAACTGTAATGTGTTATTTATGACTTGTTATTGTCATTTCAAAGTCATTTGTTACATTACAATATTACTGTATTTAAAATGTAAGGCATTACATGACTATTACAGCACTTTTAAGTTACTCTCACCAAAAGAACTGCGAAGATGCTGAACTTTTGCGCCGTATGTGGACTAAACCAGGTCTAAACCAGGACTAAAACAACTGAACCAGGACTAAACCAGGACTGAACCAGGTCTAAAACAGAACTGAACCAGGACTAAACTAGAACTAAACCAGGACTGAACCAGGACTAAACCAGGAATAAACCAGAGCTGAACCAGGTCTAATCCAGGTCTTAACCAGGACTAAACCAGGACTAAACTAGGGCTAATCTTGGACTAGACCTAAGAAGCGCCTTCGGGCGTCACCTGCATTTCTCCCCATGGAGCGTGCGGTTCTGTGTCGGTCACCTGACAGTCTCCACAGGCGTGTCTCCGGTGTTTCACCGCTACTGATTTCGCGGTGATTTTAGCGAATTTGTATGAAGAAAAACCCACCACTTCAATCCAGGTTAAAAAAGCTTTGTGACGCGCGTTACTCACATTTGTACCCAGTACAATATTACATTTTTTTTCCCCATGTAATGCCGAACATTACTGCGTTAGAGCAAAAAGCAATGTATTACATTAATCCATTACTTTTATAACATGTTACTCCCAACACTGTAAATGAATATTATCATTTCACATTTGAACATTTAGTTTGAATAAATCATTTTAACATTTACGTTTACATTCTTCAGGGAAAACGTGGTTCATCTGGAAACATGGGCAAACCAGGACCAATGGTGAGACTCAGTCAAATCTGAACATGTATAATCTGACACAGCATGAGTTTGTGGCAAAATAATGAACTCTTATGGTTTTGTTGCACAGGGTCCACTGGGTATGAACGGTCCTCCTGGATACCCAGGAACTCCAGGAATGAAGGTACGTCCATATGCACAAAATGTGTCATCAAAAGATACAAAATCACACATGTATTTACTTTTATTTGAATGATCATGAAATGTTTGATCCAGGGACAACCAGGCCCCACCGGAGTCCGAGGTCCTGAAGGTCCCCAAGGACAGAGAGGAGAGACCGGTCACCAAGGCAGAGCAGGACCCACTGGACTCGCTGTAAGTATCCACTAATAGACTCATTTTCATCAGCATAGTTGGTGGTTAAATCCCTGTTTCCTTCAATACTTTCTGTTGGCAAGAATTTTAGGTTTAGTCTGGTTCTAGTCCTGGTTTAGTCTGGATCTAGTCCTGGTTTAGTCTGATCTAGTCCTGGTTTAGTCTGGTTCTAGTCCTGGTTTAGTCTTGGTCTAGTCCTGGTTTAGTCTGGTTCTAGTCCTGGTTTAGTCTGGTTCTAGTCCTGGTTTAGTCTTGATCTAGTCCTGGTTTAGTCTGGTTCTAGTCCTGGTTTAGTCTGGTTCTAGTCCTGGTTTAGTCTGATTTTAGTCCTGGTTTAGTCTAGTTCTAGTCCTGGTTTAGTCTTGATCTAGTCCTGGTTTAGTCTGGTTCTAATCCTAGTTTAGTCTTGGTCTAGTCCTGGTTTAGTCTGGTTCTAGTCCTGGTTTAGTCTTGGTCTAGTCCTGGTTTAGTCTGGTTCTAGTCCTGGTTTAGTCTGGTTCTAGTCCTGGTTTAGTCTGGTTCTAGTCCTGGTTTAGTCTTGATCTAGTCCTGGTTTAGTCTGGTTCTAGTCCTAGTTTAGTCTTGATCTAGTCCTGGTTTAGTCTGGTTCTAATCCTAGTTTAGTCTTGGTCTAGTCCTGGTTTAGTCTGGTTCTAGTCCTGGTTTAGTCTTGGTTTAGCCCTGGTCTGATTCTAGTCCTGGTTTAGTCTGGTTCTAGTCCCAGTTTAGTCTTGGTCTAGTCCTGGTTTAGTCTGATTCTAGTCCTGGTTTAGTCTTGGTCTAGTCCTGGTTTAGTCTGATTCTAGTCCTGGTTTTGTCTTGGTCTAGTCCTGGTCCACCTGTCTCAATCTAATCCTTTAGATTAAAATGTTTTCAAACCATTTAACTGACAAGAAAAGCAGTTTGTATTATTTCACACAGTTGGGTGGTAGTGGCTTTGTAGTTGTGTTCTTGGGCAAGACACTTCACCCACCTTGCTTAGTATGAATGTGGTGAGACAATGTTGGTATTGGGAGGGGCAGCTGTGGCTACAACAGTAAATGAACAATGTGTTATCAAAAGTTCTGTTTAAATATCTAAGTCCAAAACCGTGTGTTTAGGGCCCCGCAGGAGGAGATGGAGGCCCAGGACCCAAAGGACCAGTGGTGAGCACCTCTATACCTCACATACACATACACGTACATTTACGTATACATTTACTGTAAATACTCTCTGACCTGACCCCTGTTCTTCTCCTGTAGGGTAACATCGGTCCTCAAGGAGGCGCTGGTCATCCAGGACCCTCCGGACCTCCTGGACCTCAAGGCAGCACCGGGCAGCCGGGTATCAAGGGACAACTGGTAAATATCGACTTGTTCTAGTCCTGGTTGAGTCTGTTTCTAGTCCTGGTTTAGTCTGGTTTCTAGTCCTGGTTTAGTCTTGGTCTAGTCCTGGTTTAGTTTTGTTCTATTCCTGCTTTAGTCTGGTTCTAGTCCTGGTTTAGTCTTGGTCTAGTCCTGCTTTAGTCTTGGTCTAGTCCTGGTTTAGTCTGGATCTAGTCCTGGTTTAGTCTGATTCTAGTCCTGGTTTAGTCTGGATCTAGTCCTGGTTTAGTCTGGTTCTAGTCCAGTTTTAGTTCCAGGTATCACAGGACAGCTGGTAAATGTACAAAAGCTGGATTCACACTTGGGTTTGGTTCTGGTTTAGTCCTGATGTAGACCTGTTTTTGTCTTTGTTCTAGTTCTGTTCTAGTCCGGGGTGGGTCATGTTCTAGCTCAGGTTTAGTCCAGGTTTAGTCCAGGTTTGGTCCAGGTTCAGTCCCAGTTATAGTTTGTGCTGTCCTGACTCATTCTGTTGCTTGTTTCAGGGAGACGTTGGAGTCCCTGGATTCAAAGGAGAGGCAGGACCAAAGGGAGAACCGGTAAGATCAACACCCGTCTGATAAAACTACAAGTCCTGTCGGATCAGAACTGTTTTCAAGAACATCACATGACTGAAAACTGTCAGTAGATTTGTGATTATTACAAAGTCTGTGCGTATGTGTGTCACCGTAGGGTCCCCCCGGCTCTCAGGGCATCCTCGGACCTCAGGGTGAAGAGGGAAAGAGAGGACCCCGAGGAGACTCTGGAGCTATTGGACCACCCGGACCTGTGGGAGAGAGGGTGAGTGTCTCCCATCACCACCAGGGGGCAGTGTCTGTATTCTTACATTAAGAAAGTCCAAAATTTGATGCCCAAGTTAATTAATCGTCCTTTAAAATCTACTTCTGGTTTACTAGTCCATTAATTTGAGTTTTGTGTCACAATATGATTTGAAATTATTGAGTTTACAGTGGTAGAATTACTCAAATTAGTATCAAATTTCAATAAAACTGTTCTGTTTATGCTCATATAAACCAAAAATTGCTCTGAGGGCTGCATTTGGACTCTGGACCATAGTTTAGACACTCTAAGGCAGGGGTGTCAAACATACGGCCCGGGGTCCAGATCCGGCCCTCCAAGACCTTTAATCTGGCCCTCGGCTGATTTTCTACTAAAATATTTTAATTATACTTTAACTTCTTAGGTTCTTTTTAAAGACAGTGCAGTAAAGTGTTAAAAAGAACCTAAGAAGTTAAAGTATATAAGAAGACAAAATGAACATCATTGGCTTATTTTAATTATAAATGCTATTAAAATATTGGTAATGTGCCTCTGTACGTGGCCCCTCCCACCAGAGCAGCACAAATGAAGACTTGCCTCTTTCCAAACGCTCTTAAAGGACGATCGTTTTGACTCTTGACTGTGACACCCTCATCAACAAAATGTCCACCATGAGAAAAGTGGAGCCGAGTGCAGGATTTTCCAAGAAAAATTGACTTATTCCTATTTACATACAAGTTCATGTTAAAACACTGTGTTGAAATTGCATTTTTCTTAAAATTTCAGGTTGTTCATAATATAATATTTTGTCAAAGAAAGAGTTCTTCAATTAAAAAAGATTTCTGTAATAGATTTGTGTTTCTCTGCACAAATATTTCAACTTATTGTTATTTTTGGGGTTTATATGACATGAATTTTCTGATCCGGCCCCTTTGGGATCAAAGTAGGTTGGATACGGCCCCTGGACCAAAATGAGTTTGACACACCTGACTCTAACGGTTTCACGCTTGATTTGATTTGGTTTAGTCCTGGTTTAGTTCTGGTTTAGTTCTGCAATTAGTCTCAGTTTATTTTGGAAAAGTGTAAGTTAGGGTTGGGCGGTATCTAAAATTTTCATACCGTTAAACCTTCTCAGCATTTTACCAGGATATATGGTATTATTGTTACTAATTATTTTGTAACTTGCGCCTGTAACATTCAGAAACAGAATAGCAAGCATTATATTTGCCAAACATATTGAAAAGTATCAGCAAAACATGTACACCATTTACAACTTTTATCAACATGTTTAAAGTGCAAATGTAACACTTAATGGATCATAATAAAATAACAACAAACTGTACAAGGAGCTAAAGTGCACTTCAACTTAATCAACACAAATCAATGAGTCTAAATTAAAACACAGACCTATAGCATTTTGCACTCTTATCAACAGAACTTATAATAATGAAAACACTAATAATAAAAGAAATATAAATAACAAATGCAGTAATGAAAATATAGGCTATAGGCTACATCGTATCCTGAGATTGCAACAGGCATGCTCAGTTGGTTTATTTACCGTCGTCTTCGTACATATTTTGCATACAGCCTTGTCAGCATTTACTGGCTGTCCCGTCACACCTGCCTCTGCTCAATTTCATTTCTGTCCAGCAACTAGGTCAGGAATCAGAATACACTAGACACTTCGAAAAACCCTGGAAGTGCAAGTTCAGAGACCAGCCAATCAGCGAAGAGACATATATTCTGTGTTGTCAACGATTCCAGAGATCGAGGATTTAAAGCCGGAATAAAAACAATGTTAGTGAATTTCATCAAAGGGAAAGACGTTATTGTCCTTCTTCCTACGGGATTTGGGAAAAGCTTAATATTCCAGTTAGCCCCGTTAGCGGTGCATTACATACGTGACAACCAAACAGCAGCGATTGGTTAAATGATAAAAAGTACCCGCCTACTGTTGAGTGAACAAATTCTAACACTGTGAGGTGAAACCGGCTGATGAATCAGGATACTGTCACTCAGCCTGAAGCCAAAATGCTGCCAAATTGCAGAAGTACTATTATTTTTATTTTTTGTGGGGGAACCAACTCACTTGCGACCGGACTTGCCATTTTGTCTTGAGCTGTCACGTGACGGAAGGAAACTAATCGAACCCACGCAGTTAAAAGAAACATTATAGACACTATTAGTTTTAAATCGCGATAACATTAAAATAAAACAACACCTTCATTTGTGTTGAGCAAACAAATTTAGGTATCAATAAATGACATTATTAGGTCCTTATGCACTGAATTTTTAAAAAATGTATTTATTCATTTATTTTTTTATGACCGTGATGAAACTGATACCACCCAACCCTAGTGTAAGTACAAAAACGGACCCTACATTATGAGTTAAATGCAGAGAACTAATTATTCTACAGGGATAATAAAGTGTATTACTCTTACTCTTTAGTTTAGTTTTAGTTTAATCACATTTACAGACAAGGTTTACACAAACGGGTCACGAGAGACAGTGCTGGTATTTGTTCCAGGTGCAAAAACAAATGACTCTTCTCAAGAAATAAACACAGAGACAGTTCAGGAAGTAGAACATATCAACATCTAATTGGAGTTGTATATTTCAGGGACCTCCTGGTAACAGAGGATTCCCGGGAGCTGATGGACTGCCTGGACCAAAGGTATGAACCCCTCACTAGATTCATACAAATGATACTATTTACCACTGTCCTCCAGTATTTCTTCAGCATTCCCCCAGAATCCCCCAGTATTCCTCCAATATTCCTACAGTATTCCTACAAAATCTTCCATTATTCCTCCAGTATTCCACCAGTTTTCCCCAGTATTGCTCCAAAATTCCTACTGTATTCTTACAGTATCCTCCAGTATTCTTCCAATATTCCTTCAGTATTCCTTCAGTATTCCGCCACTATTCCTCCAACATTGTTCCTGTATTCATAAAGTATCTTTCAGTATCCCTCCAATATTCTTCCAGCATTCCTCCAGTATTCTTCCTCTATTCTTCCAGTATGCTTCCATATATACCAGTATTCCTCAAACATTTCAGTATCCCTACAGTATCCTCCAGTATTCCTGCAGTATTCCAGCAGTATCCCACAGTATTCTTCCAGTATTCCACCAGTATTTCAGCCAGTATTCCTCCAGTATTATCTACCAGTATTCCACCAGTATTCCACCAGTAGTCCTTCAGTATTCTTCCAGTATTCCACCAGTATTATTCCAGTATTCCTCCAGTATTCCAGCAGTATCCCACAGTATTCACCCAATATTCCTCCAGTATTATTCCAGTATTCTTCCAGTATCCCCCAGTATTGCACCAATATTCCTACAGCATCCCTACAGTATCCTCCAGTATCCCTCAAGTATTCCAGCAGTATCCCACAGTATTCCTCCAATGTTCCTCCAGTATTCCTCCTGTATTCCCCAGTATTGCACCAATATTCCTACAGTATTCCTACAGTATCCTCCACTGTTCCTCAAGTATCCTCCATTATTCCTCCAATATTCATCCAGTATTCCTCCTTTATCTTCCAGTATTCCTACAGTATTCCTACAGTATTCCTCCATTATCTTCCAGTATTCCTTCAGTATTCCCCAAATATTCCTCCAGTTAAACTTTCTTTTCGTACCCACAGGGAGCGCAGGGAGATCGGGGTGTCTCGGGTCCTCCAGGTCCTAAAGGTGCTCTGGGAGACCCTGGTCGCACTGGAGAGCCTGGACTTCCTGGTGCCAGGGTAAGAGGAGCCAACACTTGTGGAATTAAATGTTCAAGATTTCACAATAAAACTATATAATGTGTTTTATTTTGAAAGGGCTTGACTGGAACGCCTGGAGTGCAAGGAGCTGAGGGCAAACCGGGTCCACTGGTGAGTTAAAATACAATACAGTCTGTCAAAGTGTGAGTGTAATTGTATGGTTTAGTCCTGGGTTAGATCTGGTTTAGTTCTGGTTTAGATCTGGTTTAGTCCTGGTTTAGTCCTGGGTTAGTCCTAGGTTAGTCGTGGTTTAGATCTGGGTTAGTCCTGGTTTAGTCTTGGTTTAGATCTAATTTAGTCCTGGTTTAGTCTTGGTTTAGATCTAATTTAGTCCTGGTTTAGGCCTGGTTTGGTTTAGATCTGGTTTAGTCCTGGTTTAGTCCTGGTTTAGCCCTGGTTTAGTCCCTGGTTTAGTCTGGTTTAGTCCTGGTTTAGTCCTGGTTTAGCCCTGGTTTAGTCCTAGTTTAGTCCTGGGTTAGTCCTGGTTTATTCCTGGGTTAGTCCTGGTTTAGTCCTGGTTTAGTCTTGGTTTAGACCTGGTTTAGTGTTTGTTTAGTCCTGGTTTAGATCCATTTGGACTGACAATTGTCTGTGTGGGTCACAGGGAGCTCCAGGTGAAGACGGTCGTCCTGGTCCAGCCGGATCCATTGGGAACAGAGGTCCAGCTGGAACCATGGGAGCTCCAGGACCCAAAGGATTTGCTGTAAGAACCTCTATTCTGAATACCATATTTTTCGGACTATAAATTGCTCTGGACTATAAGTTGCACCAGCCAAAAAATGCGTAATGAAGAAGAAAAAACATATATAAGTCAAGTTCTAGTAATAAAAACAACAGAACAGAGAACGTCACATATGAACAGTTCTTCAGATAAACTATAACATAAACAACAGAACAGAACAAGTTTAACAAACTCTCATCTCACTCCAAATCACTAAATCCATTCAATTCTTCATCCTCGGTGTCACTTCTGAACAACTCGTCCTCGACCTCCGGAGGTAAACAGAGCGTCGCTTCCTCTTCTGTGTCGCTGTCGTCAGACTCAGCATCAGTTCCAGTTAGAATTATTCGGGTCTTTCTGAATCTCGACAGGATGGTTTCAGTGTCACTGAAGTCCAGACTTTGTCCATCCATCCAGTGACTTCAGGAAAGTTTCATGGTGCATCCTCCCAGTGTCACAAGTTTCTCGCTCACTCCAAACTTTCTTTCTGTTGCTCGACTATCGTTTTCTGCTGCAGATTTCACAACTTGCAGTTTGTAATCTGCAAAATCTGATTTTCTTTTTGGGTTCATTTGTGTTCAGTTTTCTCAGTCGTCTTTATAAGTTTGTTTAAATGTTAAATTGTTCAGTGGTGCAGAAGTAATGGTGCGATCGACTGACATGATACAGACAGAACAGAGGCTCTTTCTGCAGGAGACATGTGCAGTAGAGTGAAGTGACAGTGGTGCAGGAGGAACAGGAGCAGCAGATACTCACACACAAGACTAGAACCTCTCACCACTTCACTGTGAACATTTGAATATATAAGTCACAGTAGAGTATAAGTTGCAGGAAACAAACAAACCATGAAAAAAGTGCCACTTATAATCCAACAAATACGGAATATGAGAAAACTTGTATGAACCAGATACTTTGTGCTGTTAATAAAGACAGAATTATACTTACTGTACTATACTATCTATACTACTACTACCATATGTATTATTAACTGTACTTCCTCTGACAGGGTGACCCAGGGAAGACAGGGGAGCAGGGCTCAGCTGGAGTGCCGGGTCAGAGGGTGAGTGCTGGATTCACACAGTGACACTTTGTGGTTGATATTTTGTTGATTGAGTTTTGATTCTGAGCTGCTCCTGTCCTCAGGGACCCCCGGGTAAAGACGGAGAGGTGGGACCAGCCGGACCCCCAGGACCTCCTGTAAGTATCACTCACATTTAGGATTTTTTTTTCTGTTTCTGTCCCTGTCAGGAGCATCTGGGGCCCTGCTGTCCTTGTGTCCTTGAGCTGGACACGCCTCATGTATTAGTGTGATCAGTGGTCATCTGTCAGTGTGCCCCAGGGCTGCGACACAGACATGACTCAGCAGATCTCAGAGGGGTTCAGACACACTTAATGATCCCTGATGATTCGAAAGCTCTGACTGTGTGTTTCAGGGCTCTGCAGGAGAGAGAGGAGAGCAGGGACCCCCAGGAGTCACTGGATTCCAGGTTTGTCATTTTTACACTAAAATAAATATTCCTTTTATTTTGTGGTACATTTGTGTTGATGCCTTTTACACTTTTAGGGTTTGCCCGGAAACCAAGGCCCTCCTGGAGAGCCTGGTAAACCTGGAGATCTGGTGAGCCACTTAAACATAACAGAATCAAACATTATTCATCATGTGTAGTTTTTTTCTGACTGACAAACCTGCGTGTGGTCCCAGGGCATTCCCGGAGAGCTGGGTCCCGTCGGACAAGTCGGACCAAGGGTGAGTAGGGTTTGTCTTTTATATAAAGTTTAGAATTTACTTTAGACTGACTGAAGCTCACCCACAGGGAGAGAGAGGGATCCCAGGGGAGAGAGGAGAGCTGGGACCAACCGGACTACAGGGACCCAAGGGTATCCCCGGAGCGCCCGGTCCAGACGGGCCTAAGGTACGTGTGCAAAACTGTTGACTATCACATGTCTTTGGTGATACAGAGTCCACGTTTACATGATGGTTTCAATTCCGAATTCATTATTATGACTTAAATAGTTTTGAATTTAATTTGTGTGAAAAATCCCTCAGTCGTCCAGGTAGAATCCATGACTAAGGAGAAATTCAGTGTGTCACAGTTCCCAAAAATGAAGAAATGACGTATTCGACCAAATCAACTTTAGTCCAGTCGACAAACTGAATTTCTCCTTTGCCTTGGAATTAAATTATTCTCCTTCGAGTTTACATGGAAATAATCATTGCAAATTAAGGTTTACATGGAAAACACATTAAATCGGTTTTATTTAATTCTGCTCAACGTCGGGGAGTCAGGCAGTTTCTGATTGGACACGCACATGAATGTATATACGTTGACCTGAAGAAAACACACACTTCATCTGCTACCGGCTTTTTTTTTATCATCTTGGTTTGTTGTTATGCCACGGACACAAACATGATCCAAACTTACGTCTGTCAGCTGAGGAGGAGACGGGAAGGTCGGAGAAAGGAGGAAGAAGACAAACTGAGTCAACAGCTGCTCTACCTTAGCCCACTCCTGCATCCCGCTCGCAAATCCAAAGAGACGTGGACGAACGCTCTTCTTCCAGCGTACTTATAAAAAAAAAATGTAAAAGTTTGCTCCGGTCGCCATCTTGCTGTGCGTCGTTGCGTCAGAAGGGCGACCCGACGAGCATGCGAACAACCGGCAATATTTTTCAGCGGAATAAATGTTTACATGATCGAGGAATAAATTAATTTGGCTTTAAAATCTGAATAAACCACGCACTTAAGTTTAATTCTGAACAAGTTTAATTCTGAATAATCATTAGGAATTGTTTACATGGTCTTTTTTTTTAAGCGGAATTCATTTTTATTCCGAATTAAAGCTGTGATGTAATATGTTGGTGAGCTTTCAGGTGGATGTAGGTAGAGTTCAGAGTCTCTGTAGTTTAAACTGAGCTGGAGAAGGCCCTTATTCTCAGCTGGAGTTTGTTGTGTCACTGTCAAATCACAGATTTGTTGACCTGGTTTCTGGTTCATGTCGAAAAACACGAAACAAAAAACTGGCACAAAGACGAACATGCCCATGTCAAATTCTACACCATAACAGTGACCTTTATTAACCTTATGTCTCGTGTCCCTCCTCCAGGGCAGTCCAGGACCCCCAGGCACAGTGGGAGATGCAGGTCCTCTAGGTTTACAGGGAATGCCCGGAGAGAGAGGCATCTCGGGACCACCAGGACCCAAAGGAGACCGGGTACGTTTGTTTTACTCTGAAAATGAGTGAGTTGTGGTAATAATACTTTGCTTATATAATACAGAAGACATAAGTGAAGTAGTACAGCTGTGTGTTGGTGTCGGTTGCTTTTGTAGTAACACGTGGCTGCTGAAATCACTCTGTTTTGTGTTTTGTGACGTGGTTGTAGTCAGAGATAGTATAGAAATGTGAAATGAAACTGCAGCTTTCTTGAATTCATAACCTTGAAAATACGAGCAAGTTTCCAGATTCTCCCACATGTGCGACTCCGTACAGTATTTTATTCCATAAATGAAACCACTTCTACCTCATCTTCATTTCACAGACATTTGAGTGAATTGATTTGGTTTCTTGCAGCTGTCTTTTTGCAGTCAGTCTTCTGTGTCCTGTCGCCGCAGCTGCTGTAGTCTGAAAACTCATTTCACTTTCTCGTTTTGTTTCAGGGAGCGATTGGAGAGAAAGGATCAGAGGGAACGCCAGGAAACGATGGAGCCAGAGTAAGTCACTTCACCTTCACACCTTCACACCTTCACACAAACTCCTATATATGTTGTTTTTATTTTACACTGTGCTGGAGTCACATATCTGATGTGTATGTGTCCAACAGGGAGCCCCAGGGCCTGTGGGACCAGCCGGACCTGCAGGACCAAGCGGAGAAAAGGTATGGTATATGTTTTATACATTTTTTTTCTGTTTGTAATCAAACTATCTTAGACATTTGCAAGTGAAATAATGAAACACAGAAATGAAACCTAAACTCATAAGTGTGATCTGTTGTAGGGTGAACCAGGACCTAAAGGACCCCATGGACCTCCAGGATCCAGAGGCGTTCCAGTGAGTAATCTCTTTTTACAAGACTCTATGTTCCTGTGCATTCATGCAAAATCAAGTTTATTTGACTCAAATATAATAATAATAATAATAATAATAATAATAATAATAATAATAATAATAATAATAATAATAATAATAATAATAATTGGATGGACACTGGCTCAGTGGTGAGAATGTTCACCTCAAAGGTTGGAGGTTCAGTCTCAGTTCTTGCTGCTGTTGTGTGGATATAAATACAGGCACGTTCAGAAGCCTGATATTTGTATTGCTTTTTTTAGTTTCTATGAAGTGTCATTGAAAACTGCTTCAGTTTTAAAGTTCTGCTTCCTTTTTCCTGCTGCAGGGGTCGAGAGGAGACCCTGGTCCCATCGGTGCTGTTGGATTTGCTGGACCTCCTGTGAGTAACTCTGACCATCACCGACTCAGTGTGATCTATAACATGAAGAGTGTCAGGAGCACTGACCAAACTGACTCTCATACAAATACACTGTGCACATGTGTTTACTGTAACATAAACCTGTGCTTCTCTGTCCATCTCATGCCCAGGGCCCAGACGGTCAGCCTGGAGTGAAGGGAGAGCCTGGAGAGCCCGGTCAGAAGGGAGACGCTGGATCACCAGGACCTCAAGGACAGGCCGGAGCTCACGGACCTCCAGTGAGTCTGAGTGAAATAAAGAAAGACTTTATAAATGCCATGTCAACAACGTATATTCAAACGGAATGAAGTTGACTGAGGCTAAATGAAGTCAACCACATCTTTTATAATTAAGTGACATTAGATATAAATGCTAATGACTTTTAAGACGTTCTAACAAAAAATCAGCCGCTATTTTTGAATTGAATCCAATACAATCCAACTTTATTTGTATAGCAAATTTTATAAACAAAACAATTTCCAAAACAGTTTTTCTCATGTGATTTTTTTTACTTTTTGTACTTCTTTGTGTTTTAGTTTTGTCAATTTGTCCAGTAAAACCTAAAAAGAAATTTGAATGTATTTGTTTACAAAGCTTTTATATGATGATTATAACATCACTGACAACTGTGCGATGTGTCCAGGGTCCAGTGGGTGTGGCCGGACTGAAAGGAGGAAGAGGAACTCAAGGACCTCCAGTGAGTGCTCCTTTAAACTGTAAACTTGTGTAAATGTTAGAGTAAATGTTAGAGTGATGTTGTTAATAATTGTGCTGTCAGTTTCAACGCTAAGTGAGCTTTCTTTCTTTTCTTCTTCAGGGTTCGAGCGGTTACCCGGGGCCAGCTGGGAGAGTGGGTGCCCCTGGTCCTCCTGTGAGTAACACACCTTCTAACACACCTTCTCATCTGCAGTCATACATGTGTCTGTACTGATCACACGACCTGCTCCTGTCCAATCAGGGCCCGCTGGGAGAGGCCGGACCCCTAGGACCTCCCGGTAAAGAGGGTCCAGCCGGTCTGCGCGGAGACCACGGAGCTCAGGGCCGACAGGGAGAGAGAGGACCCCCAGGACCCCCAGGCACCCCCGGAGACAAGGGCGACTCTGGAGAGGACGGGCCCACGGTGAGCTCTTAAAAGACTTCTGAAGTTTATGATAAAAGAAAATCTGAAAATAGAACTCGATACGCTTCACTAACACCAGACTGATATGAGTAGCATTCATATCAGTCTGGAACGGCTCTCGATGAAAGTGATCAGGAAAAGTTGGAACGTCATGATGAATATTTGCATCTGATGGGTCGACGAGTCACAACAGCAGAACAACAAAACAAAATTAAGTTAAATCCATTTGAGAGAAAATTAATCATTTAAGACACAGATGGGAAAGTACAGACATCTTTCCCTCCACAAATGCAGAAAACATTTCCCTCTACCCGGTTTCTTTCCAATCAAATCTCCAGAAATCCATCACCCAAACTACAGAGCTGCTCCGTCTGACCCCCTGGTGACCCGGGAGAATGTTTGAACAACTGATCCAAGTCAACTTAACTAATAACAAATGCTCCTTACTGTAAACAACCGGGGTGTGGTAGGTTACTTCAATTCACATTTCCAGTTAAATGTGACTTGTGTGTGATCTCCAGTGTGAACTTTAAGCGTTCCAAAAGCGTCCTACGTGAGCACTGGAAGACACGACGACGTCACACACAAAGCTCAGTGTTTACTGAAGTCGTCTAAACTCTGGGCTTGTCTCCCAAAATCCAGTCCAGTTCTTGGTAAAATGGACCGGCTACAATTCCACGCCCGCTTCGTTTGTTTGAGTCTTTATCTTTATAGGCTCTTTATTTTTCGTTGACACTGGAGTCAGGACGTCTGTAGCTGCTCTTGGACATTTCTTTGACAATCATTTCAAAAACCGCTCGGTTCCGATAAGACTCCTCCAGTTTGACCTGAATACAGCGATCCCCCCAAATATGAATGAACTCTCTAACCTCACTTTCCCTCCACTGACGAGACTCTGAGCCTGACGTGTAGGTGGGATGAATGTGACCTGACCGTTCAGACTGAAGTCGCATGTCAAAAGATCAGATATGTATCGGTTTTAGGAGCACAAAATATGGTGTGTAACGATATCCAAGTCTCACGATATGATATCGTCACAGTATGAATCTCATGATAAGATATTTATTACGATATCTTGGGAAAGCTCACGATATGTTGGGGAGACTCACGATTAGAGATGTAACAATATCCAAATCTCTTGGTATGATATTTTCACAATGTACATCTCATGGTATATTTAGGCTAAAAAAACTGTTAATATGCTACTTTTTCCTCTTAAAATGCCTTGACAAGACTTAATCTAAAAAACAAAACAAAAACAACAACAACAACAACAAAAAAAACTAAAACATAAAAGCGCTTAGAACTGTTATTTCTTCTTGTAGTCTGCACTGCAATGGAGCAAAGGATCATGGTCTCTGTAGTTCCCTCTGAAATAAACTTTCTCATATACTTTGATGGTCCACGATATTATTGTGAGAACTTTGATGATACAATATCACAATACTTTGGTTATTGTTACATCCCGAGCACATATCCAAGTGGCCTGATTCACATTTGAAAAAAATCAGCTCTGTGTTGTTCAGACTGTCATTAAAAGATCAGATACAGGAGCATAGAGGCCAAACAATCGGATTTGGGTCACTTCAGGCTGCAATGTGAACGTGGCCTTAGTTTCACTGTACGTTGCTCCGCCCCTCAGACAGACACATGACAGAGACTCACTGAGCTCTGTCACAACTGAAGAAACTTATGATGAGCAGTAAAATGTATTCGCTCTTAAAACCTTTGTCCACTTGACCAAATTCCTTTGTCTGTTGCTATGGGCCCATCTGGATGAATGAGAGATAACAATAATAATCTACAGTGTGGTCTGTGTCTGAGTGCTTGTGTTTGTGTTCCAGGGCCCTGATGGTCCTCCAGGTCCTGCTGGTACCACCGGACAGAGGGGCATTGTGGGTCTGCCCGGCCAGAGAGGAGAGAGGGGCATGCCCGGCCTGCCCGGACCTGCTGTGAGTCACTGATTTGAAGTAACATTATTATCACTCATTTTATCAGTCAGAGCAGTGCACTGAAGATGTACATTTGGTTTTAGGGTCCTCCAGGAAAGCAGGGATCCTCAGGCGCACCCGGAGAGAAAGGTCCATCTGGTCCAGTGGGAACGCAGGGAGCGAACGGACCCCGAGGAGATCCTGGTCCAGATGTAAGTCCAGAACCAAGATTCAAACTAAGTCTGACTTGAACAAACTCAGACTTAAGTAAATATTGCATAATACTGTATGTCCTACATTCATTTATTTATTTATTTATTTATTTGAGCCAGGTACAACATGATTCAAAAACAATAACAAAAATAGTGATATGGACATGACATATTTGGGACCTGGTGCTTAAAAGGAGGAGGATGAAGTTTAAAAAAAAACTTATGGAGTCCTACCCCAACTGTTTTACACAATAGAGTGGTTCACTTTTTTTTTTTTTTTTTTTTTATATGCTTGGAGTGCTTACCTGTCATTTGCAAAAATATACCCACATATATAAAAAACATATCTACACATACATACATACATACATACATATACGCATCATAGATATCCAGTACATATACTCAATATAAATATTTATACACACATATGCATAACACACATATACATACATGCAGAAACATATTTTCGTTTATGGTCGTACAAACTAATAATAATGTTAATCTAGGCACAAAATGTATCGTTTATGATCGTATATTTACTTTAGCTTTTAAATATGTTGTAACCATGTTCCCTGATCAAAAACATACCTGCAGTTGTATTTTTCATTCATCCTGTTTATGAGGTTGTTTTCTCTGAGCCTCAGAAATCTCTCCGTTTTATTTATTTATTTATTTTCGGGATTGTTGCGTCAAAGGTAAAAATCACCATACTGAGTTAAATTGTGCTCATGAACGTAATGACTTCATTTATTTTGTCATTCTTCATTCCCACTGCTGACAGGAGAGGGCGCTCCAGTGGCTAGTTAGTTAGTTATTTAGTTGGTTTATTTTCTTCAATCAGTTAACATAATCATACATCATATTACGCTATAGTGCGCTCTGGATTATAAGGCGCAGGGGAGGGAGGGTGCTGTCTGGGACCGGACTCAGTTGTTCAGTCGTGTCTAGAAGTGGCACATTGCACTCGCTTTTTCGATTCGTTCCTCCGTTCCGTTCCTTGTCGGCGTGGAGTGATGAGTGTGTCTACGGGTTTGTGGGTGTTGGAGGCTTAAGAGCGCGCCCTATGGTGCAGAAAATACGGTATATAAATATAATTGAGGGTTACAGTTATTCTGTAAGTTCCATGGGGTAAAATATGATTCATTGTATTTCTTTATATTTCTCTATAATTCTGGTCTTATATTTTTTTTTAAATGTGTAAATGGCTACATATCTCATTAAAAACTGAGGTGCAGTTAGACGTTATTTTCAGTTAGAATATGTTAAATAGAGGTGCCAGTGTGATGTTTAAATTGGAATTAAAGCCACAAGAATGCATCATATGTTTACTTTAAGACTTATGCAAACTCTGACTCAAACAAACACAGACTTGAACTAATTCTGACTTAGTCCAAACCTGACGTTGACGCTGTTCTGTTCCAGGGCCCTGCTGGTTCTGACGGTCCTCCAGGCAAAGATGGCCTCATGGGACAGAGGGTGAGTGGAGCGCACAGAGGATCATAACAATCGTCATAAAATGTGTAAATCCTCAGTAAACATGTGACGCTGTGTCCAGGGCGACAGAGGAGACCCGGGCGCAGAGGGGCTGGTGGGACCTCAGGGACTCCCAGGACCCGCAGGACCGGTCGGATCTCCAGGACCGGCCGGGAAACGGGGAGATGCCGTGAGTACACTTCATTGATCTGGTGTTGGTTTAGTCCATGTTTAATATTTACGCCAAAACCTTTTCTTATGATAATCCAGAATTTACTTTTATATCCATGTTATAAAAGGTTCTGAATGTTACAAGCAGTGTTTCTCTAACCCACGTGTCTGTGCAGGGTTCAAGAGGACCAGTGGGACCCCCAGGAGCAGCCGGAAAGAGAGGCCTAGGGGTAAGAAGTGGTACTGCAGCATCATGTAGAGCAGAATGTAGGTTTAATTTAGTCATAAACTGTGAAATCTGTTGTTTTTTTATTTTTGTTTCTAGGGACCTCAAGGACCTAGAGGAGATAAAGGAGACCTGGGAGATCATGGAGAGAGAGGACAGAAGGGTCACCGAGGATTCACTGGACTCCAGGGTCTGCCCGGACCTCCTGTGAGTCACATACTGTACCTTAAAATACAAAATTTATAAAATGCAATACACATATAATACAGCCCGGACCTCCTGTACACTGTGTATACAATTAAGTTTTTATACTACGAACATACACCTCATAGAAAGACAGTTTTCTTTTTGTTTACATTGTACTTTGCTTATAGCCTCAAAAGTAGTGTCTGACCCTCATGGACGATCTATTATAGTTACAGGCAAATTTCATTAATTCATTCATTCATTTTTTATTTCGAAGTTTGTGCCAAGAGAGAAACAATAATCATATATACTACATATACATCATAAACAACAGAAAAGCACATTTCTCGAAAAGGAGTGGGAAGAAGAAACACTTATATGAACCCACCTCTGTTCATGACGTAGTTTCAAAATTTATGTGGTTGCTTCTGTACATTGATCACGGAACTTAACAAATATTTACATATAGAAAAAATAAATTACATATTATGCAAACAAAATATAATATTAACCCCAAAATGTTTTCTTTTTTTTTTTTTTTTCCACTTTGTACTGTACACATATCCATACACATAGACATATATATATATATATATATATATATATATATATATATATATATATATATATATATATATATATATATATATATATATATATATATATATATATATATATATATATATATATATACACATACACACTTGTATACATATATATACACATACATATACATATATACATATATATTCTACATATATACACCCATAAATAAACACACACTGATCAATATATATAAATATATATACAAACATACACACATGTTTTTTTTGTTTTTTTTTTTTCACCCACTGCTGTCACTCACTCTTATACCATGAAAGTAGAAATTCTTTATAATTCCTTTTGAACCTGTGAATATTTGGGCACTGCTTCAGGCTTTTTCTGGTGCTTCTCACTGATTTTGTTTTAAATTGACCCCTTCCCCTTAATTCATAATGTACTTCTTGCGTCTTGTATAATAATCGTGTTACATTAGCTAATACTTATGCTCCCAATACTGATGATAAGAACACTTTTTTTTCAGCGCTACCTAACATGGACTCCCATCAGTTGATAACTGGGGGTGACTTCAATCTAGTGTTGGACCCAGTGATTGATAGATCATCACAAAAAATATCGTCTATGTCCAAATCTGCCAAAGCTATTCAAACATTTATGACAAAATACAAATGATATGACCCATTTTGAGCCAAGTCTCCTAACACAAGGAAATATTCTTTCTTTTCGCCAGTCCACCACTCTTTTTTTTTAAGTTGACTATGAATATCTACTGAAATTCAGGCACTGCAATTATGAAGCAATTATATTATCAGATCACAGCCCGGTAACACTCCAGACAGAGATGGAACATAACCCAGTAAACAAAAGGTGGCGATTTAATAATACTCTTTTATCAAATTGTAAAGTAAAAGAAGAAATCCAAAAACAAATAACTTTATTTCTCGCGTTAAATCCATATATCACAAGGTCCATACTTTGGGAAACATTCAACGCTTATATGAGGGGTCAGATTATTTCATGAATTAGTCTTCAAAACAAACAGCGAAGGGAGAGGGAGTCAAAAATAACTCAAGAGCTTCTGGAGGTTGATAGAGATAGTCTTTACATTGTATTTTGCCTTGAAATCTCAAAAAGGTAAATTCACAAATGTTGATCCTGCTCATTTCTATTAGTGACTAGAGCCAAGAACCCACTGTATTACAACACAAATCTGCACAAGATTCATTCTGTATTCCATATGATTGTCCTGTAGAATGTTAGGATATCGTCTGAAACACCTTTACACTGTGGTTTAAATATGAGTCCAGTGTTTGGCCCATCTGTGATTCCCAAACAAACACATTAGAAATTGAACTGCAGCTTTATATTAAAAGTTAAATGTCCCTCTGTGTCCTGTTCTCACACCCTTCTCTCTTTTCAGGGCACCACCGGAGAACAGGGAGCTCCAGGAATCGTTGGACCCAGTGGATCCAGGGTATGTCTTTCTTCTGTCATGTGCCATATTTACGCTAAAGCAAACCACACGTGAACACTGGGATAACAAACAGATTATCATGTGGTCGTAGCAGCACAGTGTTCTATCAGTGATAATAACAATACGCTTTTGTTGGTGTGATCCAGGGCCCTCAAGGACCCATCGGACCCCCAGGAAAGGAAGGCTACATCGGGCAGCCGGGACCCATGGGACCTCCTGGAACCAGAGGCATCACAGGAGAAGTGGGACCAGAGGTAAACACACTCTTCAGATATTAGTCTATCTCTGAATACTTCATTACACACACCCATAACAAGAATGGCATTACAGTATCATGAAATAGAAAGGATTTGTGTCCTGCACCTGTGGGAACCAACACAAAACAGTGCAGGTACGGGACACATTTTGAAAGCTCATCGTGGGCACGGGCGCAGGTGGAAGCGGGAGTGAGACTGCACAATGAGGGAGTGGGCGGGTGGGATGATAAACTGCAGTCCTGCAAACTAAATATGAACGTAAAGTGAAATATACAAATGATTCATATTTGTCTATCATACATCATTTGTGCTGGATATTTTATTTGGCATTCATAAAAACATTTTAAGTGCCTAAACTTGTAGATGTGGTCTAATCTAAACATTTTAGACAATTCCTTTCTGCTTCTCCATGTTTGATAGAGATTAAGACAACGTCCCCATCCTGCGGGATTTGCGGGCGAGAGACAAAACACCTCTAGTACAAATATTCAGATGTTTGTGTATAGTAAATATAAAATATATCTATTCTGCATACAACAGTATACTCCATGTGAAATGGTGCTTTTTTCCTGAGGCTGTCAGACTTTTGAACAGTGCACACTGACTACCTGCTTCACCTGCGTCTCTGTCTTGCCACATGTTTTACTTTTACTTGTACTTGTCTACTGGAACTGCTAAATGTAGTTGTTTTGATGTACTTACTTTTTTTTTAATATTGTGTATTTATTATTGTTTTGATCTCTCTCTGGATCACTGGGCCTCGGGGAGAACATTTCGTTCTGCCATGTGTTTCTCCTGCATGTTTGAATGACAAATAAAGAAGCTTGAACCTTTGACCTGACATAAGCTTTTGTATTACATGAGGATGAATAGTTGTGCAGTTGTAATGTAGTATCATGTAAATGTAGTCCTGTATTAATCTCTCTCTCTCTCTCTTAGGGCCCTCCAGGAGAGCCCGGACCCCCAGGCCCTCCCGGTCCCCCCGGACCCCCCATGGCTGCAATGGACGACCTGTTTGCGGGATCACACGACTACGACTCGGGCCCCCCTCCTCCTCCAGAGTTCAGTGAAGACGAGGCTCTGCCCAACAGTAACCAGAGCACCATCGTGGCCGTGGACCCCGGAGTCCAGGCCACTCTGAAGGCCCTGAGCAGCCAGATCGACAGCATGAAGAGTCCCGACGGCACCAGGAAGCACCCAGCTCGCACCTGTGGAGACCTCAAGCAGTGCTACCCCGACAAGAAGACAGGTGAGTGGGTCAAATGTACTCGAGCGGTGAGGGGGTCAAATGTGGAGGAGTGGGTCAAATGTAAAAGAGCAATGAGTAGGTCAAATGTAGAGGAGAGGTGAGTGGGTCAGGTTTAGAGTTGTAGTGAGAGCTCTGAGAGAGTTTTATCTGGCCCTTGTTTGGTGGAACACATTCCTTTCTCTTGATTAGTGAGAGTAAAGGATGAGGGAAACACAGGGCTGATCCAAAAACAATCTTACAGGGAAAATGGAGTAATAATGGGATAAAAATGGGAGAGATCATGTGCAGGCGCAGTCTCATAAACAGCTCCTCAGCACTTAGACACTGTGTGCATGTCTGTGTGGGAGTTTGGACTGACTCACTGTCCTGATACTGATCCTGATCCTGATCACACGTGTCTTTAGGAGAGTACTGGGTGGACCCGAACCAGGGCAGTGCAGAAGATGCCATCAAAGTGCACTGTAACATGGAGACAGGAGAAACGTGCATCTCTGCCAACCCAGAGAACATCCCCAAGAAGGTGTGGTGGACCTCCTCCAGAGGCAAACCTGTGTGGTGGGGAGCAGACATCAACAGAGGGACACAGGTGAGAGGGACACAGACACCTGGGATAATGTACTTTTTCTAGTAGTACTGCAACTACATGTATGCAAAGTACCTGTAGTACTAGAATTAAACTAGAGACAAATATGCACTAGTATGTATTATGCAAATTTGACTTCTGGAGCTTTCTTCTTTCTACTATAATGTTGTTTCCTTATCAAAAACCTGCCTGAAGAGGTTTTAGATATCGTCCATGCATGTTTGAGTAATCTAGAGATCTCTCTCAGACCTTCCTTGTGCTTAGCAGTATGATTCTGTCCAAGGCAACACTTTTCCATAAATATACGAAAGCATGATACAAAACAATTCACTATAACTTCACAAAGCAAACCAAATGTTACTGCTATTACCACTGTTTTCTTTTCTTTTCTAAAATTTGTCATGCGGACAATATTTTGTAAATTGAGGTATTTTGACATCCACACTAGAAAAAACAATATCTAGGTAAATTAAAATGACTTAAATTAAAAACATTTTACTTTATTTGAGTCAGTTCAACTTGACAAGTAAAATTATCGACCAATGGAACAAGTTTATTTTTCTTAATTCAAACAACATTCGATTCTGTTTCTTATTTTAAGTGTAGTAAGATGTATTTTCATATTTTAAGTACAAAAAGTCTTGTTCCACTGGCAGATCATTTTATTTGTCAAGTGAAATTGACTCACATTATGATTTTTTTATTTATTTATTTTTTATTCAAGTCAAGATTACACTAGAATAGACAAGATTAAGTTTTTTGCAGTGCAGAAGTCATTCTAGCGTGGACCACACCTGGACAAATGACATCACACCAATCTCTTTTATGTACTATTACTACGACTATTATGTAAAAACTACTTTTACTACCACCGCAACCAGGCCTGCTAGTACAATCCTAACAAGAAATCAGCAGAGATGGGTTTTTCATAGCCAATGCTGATCATTTAGAATCCAGAGCAACCAATGTATAAACTCTGCCGATATTTTGATATTTTTGGGTCAATTTGATTATTTTAAAATTTACTACAAACTCACCCACAGCCCTTTTTACCATAAAACTTAAAAGCTGCAGTGTGTAACATTTCAAGTTGAGAGTCCACCACCTTGTCTCTATGGAAATGTTGCTGTATCTAGAATGTTCCACAGTGTAGATTAAACTTGTATAACAAGAAAGACACACAGGTTACATCACAACACTACATTACAGTTCAGATCTGTGGAGAAGTGCCCCTATTCACAGAAGGAATTATTGTATTTTTTGTGCAATAGAAACACCTGTAATGAATAAATGCTAGATGGAAATGAGATTAAAGTCATACCACGGAACATTTCAGACCAAGCAATAACATCTCCATGGAGACTTGCAGGTGGCAGACTCTCCACCAGAAAAGTTACACAGTGCGCCTTTAAGAGAGCAGTGTAGTTTTCAGCAGTTATCTCTTTCTTACTGTTAATAAAACGTTTTAGTTTTTTTGTTTTTTTGTATTTTTTAGGCAGTAGATTTAAGGCTGATACCCTGAAAAGTAAAAAAATATACACACATTGGTCGACCTCTAATCATAATGTATGTTACTTAAGTAAAAGTACACATACAGGGGCAGTATATTACTCAAGTAAAAGTAAAAGTATCACATGGAAAACTATATATAGCTGTTTATAAATGTATTTAAAGAGAAAACGTAAAGGTATTTTGCAGAGATGTTTGGAACAGCTAAAGCAACAAATGTAGTGATTTTGATTCAAATTTTAGTTGATTTTAAGTGATTCAGCTGATTTCTTGATTTTTATAGCTGTTTGAGTGTATTTGTGTATTTAGTTTGCTCAAAGTTGGGACATTAACTCAAATTAAATGTCATTTCTCAAACCGTAAAGAAAAGTACTTTTTACTTTTCAGTCCAGATTTAAAATATAGTTGGAGTAGAAAGTACAGATTGCTGACAAACGTAGTTAAGTATCCACTGAAAAATTCACTTAAGTGGAGCACACATGCCTAAAAATGGTACTTTATGTGTTGTACTTTTACTTTTGTACTATGTTCCCTCCACCACTGGTTACTACTAATCCTTGTCACGTCTTCTGTGTCTCGTTCCAGTTCTCGTATGGAAATAAGGATCAGTCTGCAAACTCTGTGACGGTGCAGATGACATTTATCCGCCTCCTGTCTAAAGAAGCTTCTCAGAGCCTCACGTACCACTGCAAGAACTCTGTGGCCTACAAAGACGAGAGGAACGGAAACCTGAAGAAAGCCCTGATCCTCAAAGGGTCCAACGACCTGGAGCTCAAGGCTGAAGGCAACAACCGCTTCAGATACACCGTCATACAGGACACGTGCACGGTGAGGACTGGACTAGAACTGGTTTAGACCTGCTTTAGACCTGGTATAGACCTGGTGTAGTTGGTTTAGACCTGGTTTAGACCATCATACAGGATGCTTGCATGGTAAAACCGAGTTAGAGCTGGTTTAGCCCTGGTTTAATATTGATTTAGTCCTGGTTCAGACCTGGGTTAGACCTGGTTTAGATCTTGGTTAGAGCATGATACAGGACATGTGCACTGTAAGACCTGGGTAAGGCCTGGTTTAGATCTGGGTTAGACCTGGTTTAGTTGCTTTAGACCTGGTTTAGACCGTCATACTGGATGTATTCATGGTAAAACTTGGGTTAGATCTAATTTAGTCCTGGTTTAACCTTGATTTAGTCCTGGTTTAAGACCTGGGTTAGACCTGGCTTAATCCGGATTTGGACCTGGTTTAGTCCTGGTTTAGATCTTGGTTAGAGCATGATAAAGGACATGTGCACTATAAGACCTGGTTAGACCTGGTTTTGTCCTGGTTTAGATCTGAGTTAGACCTGATTTAGTTGGTTTAGACCTGGTTTAGATCTGGATTAGATCTGGTTTAGTTGGTTTAGACCTGGTTTAGACCATCATACATCATGGATGCACGGTAAAACCTGTTTTAGACCTGGTTTAGTCCTGGTTTAATCTTTATTCAGTCCTGGTTTAGGCCTGGGTTAAACCTGGTTTAGTCCTGGTTTAGATCTTGGTTAGAGCATTGTACAGGACATGTGCACTGTAAGACCTGGGTTAGACTTGGTTTTGCCCTGGTTTAGATCTGGGTTAGACCTAGTTTAGTTGGTTTAGATCTGGGTTAGTCCTGGTTTAGTTGCTTTAGACCTGCTTTAGACCATCATACAGGATGCATGCATGGTAAAACCTGGGTTAGATCTGATTTAGTCCTGGATTAATCTTGAGTTAGTCCTGGTTTAGTCCCAGTTTAGACCTGGGTTAGACCTGGTTTAGTCCTTAGTTTTAGGGTAACAACCGCTTAGATACACTGTCAAATAGGACACATGCAAGGTTAGAGCTGGGTTAGACCTGGTTTAAACCTGGTTTAGACCTTGTTTAGTCCTGATTCAGTCCTGCTTTAGTCCCTGATTGTCTCCTGCTCTTCCTCTGCAGAAACACACAGGCTCGTGGGGTAAGACCGTGTTCGAGTACAGGACCCAGAAGACGGCGCGTCTGCCCATCGTGGACGTCGCCCCCGTGGACATCGGAGGCAACGACCAGGAGTTCGGACTGGACATCGGACCGGTCTGCTTCTTATAAGACCCCCCACAAAAAAAAAAAAAAAAAACCTCCTCAAGACCGGACCAGGAACCAGCTCTGTGTAGCCCGGACCCCAAGACTCTAAACCAACCGGAGGCCATTTTGTACAGACAGCTGCACGTGTACAAGGATATTTATTATGTCTTTCACTAAACCGGATCTAAACCAGACCCAATAAAAAGGACCCAGAACTGGACCCAGAACCAGACCTAATCCAGACCCAAAGACCGGACCAAGCGCTTGTGTTTACTGTTTATAGCCAAAGTTTTATGGTGCTTTCTTCCCAATTATCCCCCGCCCCGTTAAAAATGAACGTTTCCGGTAGTACTCCCAACTACTGTGTAAGAAATTTCTATGGAGTCGAATGGTACTTCTACATGTTGTTTTTATAAATTAGTTTTTGTTTAATTTCATTTTTTATAATAAATGTTGTGTAAAAGTCTTTGTGGTGCTATTGAGGAAGAGGAGCTGGGATTTGTATGAATGTGACACATCAGCTTGTACTGCCCGCGGAAAACTTATACTCGCCGACGGCCACCAGGGGGAGACACCGCGCCACTGTAAAGACGAGTTTCGGCTCAGCACGCTTTTAGAAAATGTGTAAAATCTGTAGAATAGGCTCAAATCAGTGTTATTAAAGAGTATCGATCCATATACAGGAGTACGTTTGCATTCTAGTGATTTCCGTGGAGGATTTTTGAACCACTCAGACTTTTGAACACATCTCTGAGCTGTTTGCAGTAGCGATGTACGCGATTATAGAGCTGTCAGCTGCTCTGTTGTTGTCTGTGTGTACTGTAGAGTGTGTACCTCCCTCTCCCCAGACGCTTCCTCCAGCTCAGTACCTCCAGTCGTGACTCGGAGCGTGTTTACGACAGGTTTAGATGATTTAGTCCAGAAGCACGAACTGTAGCCCCGGGTTTTCTTTGGCGTCTAAAAAGTATCTCCTCGGAAAAGAGTCCGGGAGGTTGACAGATCGGGCGTCGGAGCTTCAGCTGCTCTTCTGGATGTGGAGGAGAAGCGGCTCTACTCCAAGCTCTGTCAAGCTCTACCCTCTGTAAATCTACGGGCGGACCCGGAGCTCATTTCAGCTTTTTGTATCCGGAATTGTGTTCTTTACTGTTAGAGGTGAGAGAAGGAGCAGCGATCGAAACCAGGACTAAACAAGAACTAAACCAGGACTAAACTAGGACTAAACCAGAACTAAACTAGGACTAAACCAGAACTAAACTAGGACTAAATCAGAACTAAACTAGGACTAAACCAGGACTAAACCACCAGGACTAAACTAGGACTAAACCAGGACTAAACCAGGACTAAACCAGGACCATAGGCGAGAGGAGAGTAGACAGAGCGGTAAAACTGAATCTTCACCTTTGGTCGTTCGGCTGCTTCCGCACGACCGCAGCGACGCACCTTCCCCCGCGGCTCAGAGTCCGTGCTCCCCCTGGTGGTTGTAGGCGGTACTGCAGTGTTAGCTTCTACCTCGTGTGACACAGAGGCGGCCCGTGCACTCCGGGCCCATAATAAAGATCTGATGGACATGAGCGCGTGTCACTGTGTAGTTTTTTTTTGACCGTGTATTTTTCTGCATGTTGTTTGCATGCTGCAGGAAGGGGGCGCTGTTGGCTGTACTTTTGCTTTGCATCACATTAAAGTGTAAACTGTTCACAGCTCTCGTCACGTTAATTCAGCTTTGGTCAGGGACAGGTCTGGATAGATTATTGTAACTGTAGAATTGACTTTTTGTTTATTAAAGCTACACTGTGTAACTTTTCTGGTGGATGATGAGCTTGTATCTATGGAGATGTTATTGCTTTGTCTGGAATTTTCCACACTACGGCATTAAATCATGATTGAGCCAAGTTACAGGTCAGATCTATGCGAGCCCACTTAAGTTAATCACTGTATTTTTAGTCATCACATCTGTAGTTGCCATACTGCTGTTTAATGCTACACTGTGGAGCTTTCCAGACAATAAAAGTCATGACATCCCCATGGAAACAAGCAGGTGGTGGACCCTGAAAAGTTCCATAGTGCACGCAGCACCTTTAATTAGTTTAATCAATCTATTTATTTTAGAGGACAGGAAAAACTACAGGTAAACAGGCAGATGAAATTTAACTTTTTTTTTTAAATAAATAAATAAATCTTTCCTTTCTCTTTTTTTGCGTGTGTTTGCTTTCACACAGAGTTACTTTTGTCAGCTAAAATATTGTCATCATAGATTTTGTCCATGTCATATTTCTGCTGATTCAAACTAAATAGAAATGGACCATCATCACTTATCAATACAGTAAAACATTTTTGGCAACTTAAACTATGATTAAAATTACTGTATTTTCTGGACTATAAGTTGCACTTTTTGGGGGAAATGTATTTTATAAAATCAGAGACCAGGAACTGACATTTCCTGTGTAAAGTCAAGTTGTAGTAATAACAATAGAAGAGAGAACAACAGACTGTTAACGTCACATATGAACAGTTCTTCAGATAAACTATAACATAAACAACAGAACAGAACAAGTTTAACCAAACTCTCCATCTCACTCCAAATCACTAAATCCATTCAATTCTTCATCCTCGGTGTCACTTCTGAACAACTCGGCCTCGACCTCCGGAGGTAAACAGAGCGTCGCTTCCTCTTCTGTGTCGCTGTCGTCAGACTCAGCATCAGTTCCAGTTAGAATTATTCGGGTCTTTCTGAATCTCGACAGGATGGTTTCAGTGTCACTGAAGTCCAGACTTTGTCCATCCATCCAGTGACTTCAGGAAAGTTTCATGGTGCATCCTCCCGGTGTCACAAGTTTCTCTCTCACTCCAAACTTTCTTTCTGCTGCTCAATTACCGTTTTCTACTGCAAATTTCACGACTTGCAGTTTGTAATCTGCAAAATCTGATTTTGTTTTAGGGTTTATTTGTGTTCAGTTTTCTCAGTCGTCTTCATAAGTTTGTTTAAATGTTAAATTGTTCAGTGGTGCAGAAGTAATGGTGCGATCGACTGACATGATCCAGACAGAACAGAGGCTCTTTCTGCAGGAGACATGTGCAGTAGAGTGAAGTGACAGTGGTACAGGAGGAACAGGAGCAGCAGATACTCACACACAAGACTAGAACCTCTCACCACTTCACTGTCAACATTTGAATATATAAGTCACACCGGAAACATCCAAACCATGATAAAAAGTGCCACTTAATAGTCTGAAAAATAAGGTACTGATAATAAATCATATAAAGTAAACTTAAGGTAATGAAAGAATGTGTCTACGAGTCCTACTTTTTAACCCCAGACCCAAACCAGATCAGGAAGTGAAATACATAGACATACTTTTTAGTTGACAAAAACTACTTCTATATGGGTTAACTTACCTTTGTCTGAGGTCCAGAACAGACACTGCTTAAACACTTTCTGAAGATGTGAGTTTGGTCACTTGTGAACCTTCCAGAGGTCAGATGGGTGTGATTGACGGGCAGATTGGCCAATCAGAGGGATTTCTGCAGAATCAATGAGCGAAACACTAAATTTTATTCATCTGAGGAAAGAGAAACGTGTTTTTGTTTGTACATGATGTTGACCAAAGTGCTCGTTCGTTTCATGTGTCACATCTAGACGAGGTTGAGTGTCCAGACTGTCCGTGCACACTCTGTTGTCTGAAGCCCGAAAAAACATGACCATCCAATCAGATTTGTTTGAGTAACGCGTGAAACTAAAAAGCTCATTGGTCCCCATCATTAAAGACGCACTGTGTAACTTTCTAATAAAGTGTCCAGCACCTGCTTGATTCCATGTAGATGTTATTGTTTTTTCCTACAGTGCAACATTTAATTTAACCATTATATCTCCATGACCTCGTCACCAGGCCAAGTTACAGGTCAGATCTGTGGAGAGGTGGGCCCGATCGCAGTAATAATGTACATGGTTTGCAGTAGTTTAATAAATAAAAACATAAAAATTGAATAAATACAAGATATATTTGTTTAAGGGCATACTGTGGAACATTCCAGACAAAGTCATAATATCACCATGGAGACAAGCAGATAGCAGAAAAGTTACACAGTGCACCTTTAATAAATAAACTGACTTTTCTTTCTCAACAAACTAATATGCTTCGCTCATTGATTCTGCACACATCTGTCATGTTTTTCAGCCCTCCGTGAAAATATTTGCTCTTATTTTTTGGTCGTAAGCAGCCATATTTGTTTTGATACAGACGGACCATAAGCGTCCCTCATTGGCTCATCCACCTGTCCATCTGAACTTGGGAAGATTCACCGGTGACCAGACTCACACCTTCAGAAAGCACTGGAGAAGTGTATAATACTTAAACTAAAAAGTATTCTATTCAAAAGACTCAAACGTTTGTGTAGACATCTGTTTATTATCAATCAAACAACAGTCATTGCAACCAAAATGCCGAGTGGACATTTCCACATGTAGTAAAATACCTCCCATAAAAAACAAAGTGCCTTCTGGTGCAAAAACAACATGAACACAAGAATCAAATGACTATAGTTCAAACATGTTAATACTGAAATGTAAAAGACACTGGAATGTTCTGAGCAGCAGCAGCAGAGCCGAGCGCACACGAGGATGTGGAGAGAACTGATTTTGAAAATAAGAAAGAGTGTGATTGGTCTAACAGGTATCCACACTTCAAACTTTCTATCAAAAACACCTGGCTGTAATCAGGGCAGTCTTGTGTGATGTCACATAGTACTTGAAATTGCAGAGGCCACTGAAGTCCAGCCTAGTGCAGCAAGATGGATTCTTGCTGGATGGATTCTTCTTTTTGAGTTCACAAACTCACGAGAATCCATCTAGGTTTGCTCCAACTGTACAGTTTAAATCAGACCCTCGCAGTGGTCGGCCCAATCACAGAGCTTGTCTGACAGGGGGAGGAGTTTCAGGCGACATGACGACAGCCTCAAGCTCCAGGCCCACACCACAGACTTTATATATATTCTATATACAGTCTACAGAGAGCTGCACAAACATGGTGGTGCTGGCAGACAGTGATGGTGGCTTAATTTGTATTGCAGAAACAGTTAGATTTGTTTATGGACATGTTCCCTCTCCAACATGTTCCCTTGTTTTGGTTTTACCTGCCACTAGTTGGATACTTAATTTTGACAGGTTTGCCGTGATTGGCTAAAAAGAAACTGGTGGGTGGGCACTTTGGGGTGGTTCACTCAATCAGCTTGAGTCATTCTGCTGCAAGTCCCTCCTTTTTCTAAACTCTTTCAGCGAGATTGATTTTGGGACTGAGATTTCAGCGGATCAGTGCAGCGTCGGCAGTGATGCGGTCGCTGTATCGAACCACTGTGTTGAAGAGGGAGTTGAGTCGAAAGGCAAAGCTCTCGATTTACCGTCAATCTATGTTCCTTCTCTCACCTATGATCATGAGCTCTGGGTATTGGCTGAAAGGACGAGATCACGGATACAAGCGACTGAAATGAGTTTCCTCTGCAGGGTGGCAGGGAGCTCCCTTAGAGATAGGGTTGGAGCTCAGTTACATGGGAGGAGCTCGGAGCAGAGCCGCTGCTCCTCCACGTGGAGAGGAGCAGCTGAGGTGGCTCGGACATCTGTTCTGATGCCTCCTGGACACCTCCTCAGGAGGTGTTCCAGGCATGTCCCACTGGAAGGAGACCCTGGGGAAGACCCAGGACACACTGGAGGGACTATGTCTCTGGGCTGGCCTGGGAACACCTCGGGGTCCCCCGGAAGAGCTGGAGGAAGTGTGCGTGGAAAGAGAAGTCTGGGCCTCCCTACTCAGACTGCTGCCTCCACGACCCGGCCCCGGATGAAGAGGAAGAAAATGGATGGATGAATGGCTTTCAGCGAGAGCCGTTCCAGAGGGATGATGTGTAGAACTCAGTTCAGAGTGATTCAGATGAATCAATCTGGCATGAGTCAGCTCACACTTACATTTATACATTTGCAGCAGAAAGCTGCAAATATACCTAGTTAGCATTAAAGTTGCCAAAAAAATGATTAGGAGTGGTAGATAATGTTATTAAAAAAAACATATTCACAGTTTCGTAACCAAATTAACGTGGATTTAATGTTTTTAGTTCCACTTTAATTAGATTTTTAAAAACATTTGAATAGGGCCAGTAGAGGGCACTGTTGTACTAGAAATGATGACTCATTCCTCTTCTGTGGAAACCATAATCACAAACTTCTCTTCTTGCAGATGAAGTCAGGGAAGGTTGGTGGTTCAAATGCTGCTCAGACTAATACATACTGCTGTTGTGTCCTTGGGCAAGAGGCTAACCACTCTGCCACTGCACCAACCCCAACACAAATAGAGTTTCTAGAGAGAGTCTCCAGTCCTGTCTGTTTAAACTCTGCTGCTGCTGCGAAACTGAAGCTACATTTCATAATCATATGTCATCAACACTGGACGTACAAAAGGAATGTTTTAAACAAATGCATTCACTCAAACTGCTCGAGTATGAAAAATCCCACACTGACCGTACCTCTGAACGTTACATTATTTACACCTGTCACCTGTACTCAAAACTATGAGATTCTGTTTACAAAAATATCTCTTTTCTACAATGGGAAGTGCACTGCAAAACAATCCTGCTTCAAATCATGACTTGGATTCTCAATATTCATTTTGATTTAATTTTTTCAGGTTTATTTTGGCCTCATTTGAATATAAGGTTTTTATTTTTGTTAGTGTTGGTTATCATTATTATTAATATGATATAATTAAAATTACACACTATTTATTAGTGTAGAGTTAAAAATCCCACGCAAATATTATTACTTTTTTTTTTTTTTTTTCAGTTAATCCAAAGCAAATGTTTTACTTTCAATGATCATAGTCCACACACATGGACATGGTTAAAGTATGTGTGACAAATTCTGGTGAAATTTCCACTTAATTGAGTTACAGCTGTATAAATATAAATTATAGTTTCAATCAAGAACACAATTAGTGAAGAAAAGTTGAAAAATATGTTGAGAACAGTAAACTCTCTAGAGCAGTTCTTCTCAAATAGCGGGGCGTGCGATGCCAGAGGGGGCACGTGTGACCTCGGGGAATATGTTTTTTTTTTTCGTAAAGTGTAAATGCACATCCACTACAGTAGTTGGCAGTGACGCTCTCATTGTCGGAGTGAGCGCACGGAGTATTAGCACTATAGAGCAGGAGATATGAAGTGCAGAGAACAAACGGTATGTAAAGCGTCTGTAGCGCTCGGCTTCACTGTGACTACGACGGGAAACGAGGAAAGACCGCTGCGTTTACTGTGACTAAAAATGTTGGCACCGGACAGCATGAAGCCAAATAAATTACAGCGTCACTTAAAGACATTACAGCCCAATCCTGCTGATAAGCCGTTTGAGTTTTTTCAGAGAAAACATGCTGAATATTACAATAATCATCCCGCTCTACTGGAATCATATAAGGCAGGGGTGTCCAAACTTTTTTCATCACGGGCCACATGTCTAAACACAGATGAAGCAGAGGGCCGATCGAGGGCCATAGACTGGAGCTCAATACAGTGAATAATTGAAATATGTGCATGTTTAACACTTTAGAATAAGCCATCAGTCTTTATTCACTCATTTCAAAATTCTCAAACCACACATTAAATCTTCAATATTTGCTTTATCAAAGTAGATTTTCAAAAAACTTGCGGTAAAAAAGTTCATTTTTAATTGATGCAAAGTAATAGGGGCCAAATCACCTGGAACCCCGAGGGCCAAGAAAAATTTGTCCGAGGGCCGCATTTGGCCCACGGGCCGCAGTTTGGACATGCCTGATATAAGGTGACATACCAAACAGCAGAGGAGCTGATTCTGCTGCAGCATTACACGTGGTTTCTGTCACGCTGGATGAAGCGAGTGCCCCGAACTATAACAGACATGATCTTTAAAGACGAGGAGAACACAGGAGCGGACGCCTCATGACGCAGGTGAACACAGTGAGTAATATGGACGGACACGTGCTGCAGGTACTGAAAGCTACTCCTGAACTACTACTACTACTACTACTACTACTACTACTACTACTACTGAAGGCGAGGGTGCGATTTGTCCATGTTTGGTAGTAGTTCTGAGGAATGAAGGGACACGAGACATGTTTTCTTCTTCCTAGAGTGGGCATGACAGAAAATAATTGAGAAACACTGCTCTAGAGCAGACATGTCAAACTCAGGCTCGGGGGCCAAATTTGGCCTTGTGTTATAATTATATTTGGCCCGCGAGATCATATCAAACATGTGTTAAAGCTGCCCGCTGGCTGCAGATAGACTATAGACACATGATTTATTTAAAATGTTGTTATTATTTTATATTTTGCATGTTCTGGATTCAGTGTTTAAGCAAAACTATTATTAAACATTTTAATAAGAAAAAAATGTACATTACATATCTCGAAAGGAGATACATTTTTCAATAAATATTTAGTTTGGATGTATGGATTTAGTTTGGCCCATGACTTAGTTCCAGTTTTTAATTTTGGCCTCTGTCAATTTGAGTTTGACACCCCTGATCCTAGAGGAAGTAGAGATTTCTATTTTAGAGAATCACACTTTTTTTTTTTTTTTTTTTTTGACACCAAACAGGGAGAATTCTGTTAAAAACTTTTAGTCAAATCTGAAATCTCATGATGTTGACTGTATTTTAGTCAAATGAGAGGTCTAACCTGTCATAGGCACTTTAAGAAGAACTCAAACACACTTCTTTGTAAATAATATGTACACAAAACACAATATTTAAGTAAGTTACAATGATTTAAATTAAGAACATTTTACTTTGACTAGATTTAACTTGACAAGTAAAATGATCTGACAATGGAATAAGTGTGTTTTTCTTAATTCAAGTAACATTTGATTCTGTTTCTTATTTTAAGTGCAAGGAGTTGTTGTTTTTCTTTTTTTAAGTGTAACCAGATGTATTTTCATAATTTAAGAACAAAAAGTCTTGTTCCACTGACAGATTGTTTTACTTGTCAAGTGAAATGTATTTTACTTTCTTAATTCAAGTCATCTTAACTTGGATAGATTTTAGTTTTTGTGGTGTAACTTTTTCTACTAGACGTGCTGCGATCAGGAGTTTTCAGGCCGACTTTGATCAAATGATTTTATTATTTAAAATTTACTAGTGGCTATTGATGATGAAGTTCAACCAAAACTAGTTTTTGAATCACTGGAGTTTGTGTGTTTCATGTAATTTTTGCCATGATCTTCTAGTCTGTCTACTGCCAATTTTGACTATTTCAATGCAAACTGGTTCAATTCCTGAGTTCATACTGTTGTGCTCTTGGGCAATGCATTTATAAAGCCACAAGTTTGGATTTTACTTTTGAAACTACACTAAACTTGAAAACAAGATCAATACTGAGAACTCCGGTCAGAGTTGTTTTGCAGTGCGGGGCGTTTTTCCGCTGGGTGCATATAAACTTGTGAACGTGTGGACGGATGGCGGACATCTTGGCTCGAGTTTGGCACTTCCTCCTCTTCCTCCTCTTCCTCCTCTCCTCCTCTTCCTCCTCTTGAGACGATCAGCAGCGACTGTCCAGCGGGTCCAGAGAGAACACAGCGCCCTCTAGAGTCAGTCCCATTTTGAACCCCTCCTGGAAGAATAAACAGGAACTCGGATTAGGAAGAAATACAGGAGAAGATGTTTATCGTCCAAGTGAAGAGGAAGAACAATGGAGCTTCTGCAGACACACTTTTAAATGAACAGGAAAAAAAAAGAACTCACACACGCAACACAAACCACAGACTGAACCTTGTGACAAAAAGATGTGACAAAAATGTGATAATGGTATTAAAACTATATTTGAATACACTTTTAGACACAATAAGTGCAGTTAAAGCAACACTTTGGCTACATTCAGACTGCGGGGCTTAATGGTCGATTTTTTGGCGAGGTAGTTCACATTTCCAATTATCATATTTTTTCTGACTATAAGTTACTCCGGACTGTAAGTCGCACCAGCCAAAAAATGCGTAATGAAGAAGAGAAAACATATATCAATTGCACTTTTTTGGGGAAATGTATTTTATGAAATCAGAGGCCAGGAACTAACATTTCATCTTGAAAGGCAAGTTCTAGTAATAACAGAATAAAGAACAACAGGCTGAATAGGCGTCTGGTATGTTAATGTCACATATGAACAGTTCTTCAGTTGAATATACAGTGTTGTGCAAGTTCACACTTTTCATGAACTAGTTCAAAGTTCAGTTCACACTTGTTCAAAGTGAATAGTTCACGTTCATAGTTCACAATTGTAAATTTGAACTAGTTCAAAGTTCAGTTCATTTTATTTTTAGGTGAGATCTGTAAATGAAAGGCTGAACTCATTTTTCAAACTGACTTCTAGTTTACAACAACTTTACAAGATACACTGTTGGGCAAGTGACTTTAAAACTGTAATGTGTTATTTATGACTTGTTAGTGTCATTTCAAAGTCATTTGTTACATTACAATATTACTGTATTTAAAATGTAAAACGTTGCATGACTATTGCAGCACTTTTAATTTACTCTCACCAAAAGAACTGTTAAGATGCTGAACTTTTGCACCATATATGGACTGAACCAGAACTGAACCAGGTCCAAACCAGGACTAAACCAGGTCTAAACCAGGACTGAACCAGGTCTAAACCAGGACTGAACCAGGTCTAAACCAGGACTGAACTAGGACTAAACCAGGTCTAAACCAGGTCTAAACCAGGATGAACTCAACCAGGTCTAAACCAGGACTGAACCAGGACTAAACCAGGTCTAAACCAGGTCTAAACCAGGACTGAACCAGGACTGAACCAGGTCTAAACCAGGACTGAACCAACAGTGACGTACGTCGTTCATCTCACATAATTTGAACAAATTCACGTTCAAGTTCTTGATTTACAAAAGCGTTGCGTTCAAGTTCAAAGTTCACTGAAAAATGAACGTGTTCGATGAAAGTGTTCTTTTGAACTCGTTCATGCACAACACTGTGAATATAGCATAAACAATAGAACAGAACAAGTTTATCAAACTCTCCATCTCACTCCAAATCACTACATCCACTGAATCCATTGAATTCAAGTTTCTCGCTCACTCCAAACTTTCTTTCTGCAGGAGACGTGCAGAAAACAAGCCTAGAGCTCCTTCTCGTGGCTGTCAGTCTGAAAATTTAAAAGACCCCCCAAACCATGAAAAAAAGTGCGACTTCTAGTCCGAAAAATACGGTAAATGTAACTTGTATGTGATCTCCAGTGTGAACTTTAAATGCCCCCAAAGTGTCAGAAGTCGTCTAAACATGGACGCAGCATTGAGCACCTGGAGATTTTAAAGTTGGTGTCGTACTGGAGCAGAACATGGACAGTAGGGTTATAACTTTTGGAACTTTATTCCCAAAATCAAAGTCCTGCCTCATGATTGGATGAACTTTTTGGTATAATTGAAGAAACCAAACAACATTTTCAACACTCTTTTATAAAAGTCCCCCCAAAACAAAACATATTAAATGCACATTACAGCCAATGATATGAAATGTGAAACCGTGCTAAGTTCTCACAAAGGCCATTACAAGTCAATTTAATTCAAAATGGATCAATAATAAGTTAATAACTGCATCATAATATAATGGAGTTTCAGTTTCTATTCTTGCTTTCACTTTATAAGTCATTCGATTCATCGTTGTTAACCAACACTGAGTGTGTATACATGCACATCAGTATCCCAGTTATTAGCCATATCCCGGTTATGTCAGTATTCAGGTTACTGCGTTTACATGTGCACTGAGAAACCGGGACACTCATATCCCTGTGTACATGATCAAATGGAGTATCCCGGTTTCTTGACATAATCTTACAAATGTGCAAGCTCAAAAATTAACTTAAATCAATTTCATAAACCAGGAAAAATACAAACCGTGAGCTCCTTTAGCATAAGAAGCTAAGGAGCTACGAGATCTCCCACAATCCACTGCGCACATCAAACCAACAGATTCTTCATTAAAATCTTCTGCATAAATAAACTCAACTTTACAACATATAAACCATAAAGACTATAGATCCACATCAGCCCGTTTGATCAGATCATTCAGCTTTGATCACATTTGTTTACGTTTTACAGAAACGAAACTTAAGACCGCATTGCTAATTAGCATAAACGGTTAGTGGTGATAAAAACAGCTGCTCCTTGTGCCGCTGATGCGATCAGTTTCTTTTGGACTAAAGGACACGTCTCTGTGGATTATGTGTGCTCTTTTTGTGACAGAAGAGGTGCTGATGATGGTGAGTCTGTTCTGTGTGGATATCGTATAGGAGATAGTTCATGTTTTAGCTTTTCAGCGATCACACAAGTGCAGGTCATACGAGTTCATATTGTACATGTGCAGGTTTAGCGCAGCTCTTAATTTTACAGTCATTTCACTCATTTGGTCACTTTATTTATGTTGGTCAGTTTATTTATGTCGCTACTGTTGTGGTGAAAAGACTGGAAAGTGTCTTTTGGACGCATACGCACTCAACTTTATGTTGCAGTAACCGGGGTACTGTGTATACATGTCACAAGTATCCTGGTTACTATCGGATACTGCCATAACTGGGATACTGAAACCGGGATACTGCGTTTACATGCACCATGAAGAAACCGGGATACTCAAAAAACCTGATCATAACCGGGTTATTGATGTGCATGTGTACACACTCACTGACAATCATCATTTTTTGACTTTTAGTGACCTATTTTATATGATCTTTACCCTGATTATGTGTTTTGTTCCTGTGTTATTAAAGAGAAAATTGCCTTTGGTTATTTTATGATTGAACAGATATTAACCTTCTAACAGTTTTATTCTGGTTGTTGGAGGCTTTACGAAAACTTCATTTTGAGTCTGGGGGGACTTTTTTCAAAAATATGACCAACTGAAGGTCAATTCCTTTCATTACTCGCAAAAGTTCATCAAAATATGATACAGGGTATAGAGGTTGTAAAAAAGTTATAACACTAATGTACAGCTTATTTGTTTTAAGGAGGAGATTGAGAAGGAGAAGGACGAGGTTTTTGGTCATGATGTTTTGTGGGGCAGTGGCAGTGACGTCCGTAGAAAGAAACATGTGGATGCAGAGTCACAGACAAGAGTGGTGGGACTGACATGTGCTTCACTGACACAGAGCTCAGACACAGTTTTCATCTGACATGAAGAATGTTTGTGTACATTTGTGACGTGTAGGTGGGATGAATGTGACCTGACCGTTCAGACTGAAGTCACATGTCAAAAGATCAGATATTTATGGGTTTTAGGAGCACATATCCAAGTGTCCTGGGTCACATTTGAAAAAAAATCAGATCTGTGTCATTCAGACTCATTAAAAGATCAGATACAGGAGCATAGGAGTGAAAAAATCAGATTTGGATCACTTCAGGCTGCTGTCTGAACGTAGCCCATGTGACTTTCTGGAGTTGGACGTGACCTGCATGATTCCATGGAAACAGAAAGTACTAAATTCGAGTCAAGTTTGTGGAGATGCAAGCCCACTTACAGTAAGGACGCATGTTTTTATATGTTTTTTCTGTGCAATAAACACAAAAAAAAACAGACATTTAGACTGAAAAGTTACATACTGTGGCTTTAATTTAAAACTAAAATGTACATGGCATGATTTACTAGTCTAACTGTGTTGCAAATTAGCCTTGAATCAGGACTGGAGTGTGTTACGTGTTTCATCAAATAAAACAAATACATAAAAATAATAAAACTGTATAAAATGTAATAATAATAATAAAATAATAATAATAATAATAATAATATAATAATAATAATAATAATAATAATAATAATAATAATAATAATAATAATAATAATAAATAAACAAATAAATAAAAATAAAAACAAGACAGAAAAAAATTAAAGTCAAATGTCTTTTAAACACAGTACATTTGTGTCAGATAAAGAACTTGATCTGTTCTCTTGTGATAGTGAGTATTGTGATATCCATATGTTTGTGATAAATTGTGCAGCCCAATGAACAAGCAACACATCCAAACATTTACACAGAGAGGAAAAGTACTGACCATCTCTGTCTCTGCATCAGAACCACAGAAGAGAGGGAACAGAAAGAAAAGGAGGAAAAGAGAAGAGAAACACAGGTAAGATTTACAGTCAGAACAATGTGCACTTTTCTGCCTAATGCTGGAAGAGTCATGTTAGAAACAACCGCAGTAAATTTAGATTGAGAGAGACAGAGAGAGAAAGAGAAACAGAGAAAGACAGCCAGAGCAAGTGAGACAGAAAGAGAGAGAAGAGAAACTATAGAAAGATAAACAGTGCTGATATTGCAGTTTCATGAATTCATATGTGAAGTTAATATGATTATGAGATTCAGGAGCTGGACCACGTCTCTATTAGCCTGATTCATCAGACAGTTTCACTTCATGGAAACCGTCTGACTTCACAGCATTAGGGTTCGTTCGCTCAATGTTAGGCGTGTACTTTTTTATTTAACCAATCACTGCTATTTGGTTGTAACGTATGTAAAGCGCCGCTAACGGGACTAACTGGTATATTAAGGTTTTCCCAAATCCTGTAGGAAGAAGGACAATAACATCTTTCCCCTTGATAAAATTCACCAAACATTCTCTTTGTTCTGGCTTGGGAATTGTTATCAACACAGAATATATAGCTCTTTGCTGATTGGCTGGTGCCCAAACTTGCACTTCTGGGGTTTTTGCGAATCGTCTAGTGCAGGGGTGTCAAACATACGGCCCGAGGACCAGATCCGGCCCTCCAAGACCTTTAATCTGTCCCTCGGCTGATTTTCTACTAAAATATTTTAATTATATTTTCTATTAAAATATTGGTAAATTTCTGTGGTGTTTATCACAGCAGCGTCTCCAGCGTCTCTGTACGTGGCCCCTCCCACCAGAGCAGCACAAATGAAGACTTGTCTCTTTCCAAACGCTCTTAAAGGACGATCGTTTTGACTCTTGACCGTGACACCCTCATCAGAAAAATGTCCAACATGAGAAAAGTGGAGCCGAGTGCAGAATTTTACAACAAAAATGGACTTATTCCTATTTACATACAAGTTCATGTTAAAACATTGTGTTGAAATTACATTTTTCTTAAAGTTTCAGGTTGTTCATAATATTATCATATTTTGTAAAAGTTTTCTGTAATAGATTTGTGTTTCTCTGCACAAATATTTGAACTTATTGTTATTTTTGGGGTTTATATGCCATGAGTTTTCTGATCCGGCCCCTTTGGGATCAAAGTAGGTTGGATACGACCCCCGGACCAAAATGAGTTTGACACTTCTGCTCTAGTGTATTCTGATTCCTGACCTAGTCGCTGGAGAGAAATGAAATTGAGTGGAGACACTAGGTGGCACCAGACTGTCTTTGTCTCTACCTCCTCTCCAGCCAACCACAACTTATCTCAACCACACCTTCAGTTACCCAGAAACCCTGTTTATACGGCCTTTCCCGACAACACTGTCAACATCTATCCACCGTCAATAAACATCATTATCGTGTTACATTGTTGAGGCGTGGTCCTTGCTACTGAATAAACAATAAAAGTATCAGATGTTTCTCCTGACCTGCATCTCGTCCAGTTTGGACTGTATGTCTGGAGGGAAGTCTGCAGCTCCACAGGTGAACGGGTCAAACGGCTCAGCTCCAAACAGATCTTTGTCTGAAATCAACAACACAAAACATCACATCAGATATAACCGGGAGGCATAAAGGAGCTGTAAATGATTTCCACTGTTTTGAAAATGTAAAAAAGCTGAACTTGTACATTTTAGGACCATTTGCAGTGGTCCAAAGTAGGACTGTCAAAAGAATAAAAAAAAATATTATAATTAAAAAAAAAATAATAATTTAAATTGACTTTTTCTGAATCATTTTGTCTTGAGTTTGATCGAAACTAGTCTAATGAAATTGAGATTTGAATTTTTAGTAACACCAGTGCAAAGTTCGTCCTCACTCAGCTCATGCATTCAGAACATCCTAATTATTCACCATGATGCGTTTATAAGAGCTCTTCACAACTCTCAGAGACCAGAGCAGAGTAAAAGAACTAATAACAACAACCAGCATGCTAACAAACATGTCCTGATGATCAGACAATTAAATGGTTCATAATTGGATGCAGACAGAACACAGTGGACTAATTCAGACCTCAGCGCATGGTAAAATGGTAAAAAGGTTTAAAAAAAAAAAAAAAGGTCAAAAGGTGTAGTTCTTACTGATGTCTGGAGGGGGTGAGGTGGGGGGCGGAGGGGGGCACCCGTTGGACGCCCGAGTGGGAACCAAGGGAGCGACCGGAGAAAAGGGAACCATGTCGAAGATGTCTGTGGACTGAGGCTTCTGAGACACACTGCCCGCCTGAAAACACACCACAAAATATACACCAGATGATACACAAAGATTACACACACTCTTTATTTGGACTGAATGTCTCTGAGTTAAACCTGCATTTGACCCATCCTTTAGTGTTACTGTGTTAAGCCTGGATTTGACCCATCCTTCAGTATCTCTGGGTTAGACTTGCATTTGACCCATCCTTCAGTGTTACTGGATTAAACCTGCATTTGACCCATCCTTCAGTGTCCTCTCCTGTGGGTTAAACCTGTCTTGCATTTGACCCAGTCTTCAGTGTTACTGGGTTAAAATCTGACCCATTTGACCCATTTGTCCTTCCTGCATTTGTGTCTCAGGTCTAGTGTCTACTAGTCTTTGTCCTTAGCTGGAGGAATTTAACATTTTGTTGAGCTTATTAATTTTTTTTTTTTACAATTTAGTTTTAGGCAGAAAAACATTTTAAAATGCAAAAGAAGACAAACTAAACTAAGCAAACTCCATTATAAGATCTCATTTGCATTGGCCTATAGTGGGTGGAACAGCTCAGTGCACATTCATATTTCATACACTCTTAAATACACTACACAAATTCCCAGAAGAAGTCCACTTTATATTTCTAAACCGCAGTCGCCAAAATGTGCATAATTTCTCATTTAAATTCCATAAACTTTAGCGATCTGTGGACCCAGATATGAGGCAAACATTTTCACATCGAAAATTACTTTTACTGATAACAACTGTAATTCTGATTTTACTCTTAATCACCAAAATACATTGGGCACCATTTTGTTCATGTTATTATTTGGCATATTATTTGGTATAATTATCCAATCAGATAATACTCCCTACAACTGTACAACAACTCACCCTTATGTAACAGATAATACTCCCTACAACTGTACAACAACTCACCCTTATGGAACAGATAATACTCCCTACAACTGTACAACAACTCACCCTTATGGAACAGATAATACTCCCTACAACTGTACAACAACTCACCCTTATGGAACAGATAATACTCCCTACAACTGTACAACAACTCACCCTTATGGAACAGATAAATACTCCCTAACAACTGTACAACAACTCACCTTATGTAACAGATAATACTCCCTACAACTGTACAACAACTCACCCTTATGGAACAGATAATACTCCCTACAACTGTACAACAACTCACCCTTATAGAACATATAATACTCCCTACAACTGTACAACATCTCACCTTTATGTAACAGACTCACCCTTATTTTTTGTTTATATTTATTTATTTTCTATTTTATTACTTTTTTCTATTTTTCTATTTTATTACTTTTTTCAATTTAATTTTTTTTTTTTTTTTTTTTTATTATTTTTTTTTATTGTAACGCACAGACTAATTATATTTCCTAAAAAAATTCTATTAAGCACATTGTTATTGCAGGTACAAGACATGGCCTGTAGGGGGCAGCAAAAGTCCACACAAAAGCACAGAGCAAAGGCAGAAAGGAATTGAAAGTCACATTTGCAAAGGTTGTAGTAGCAGTAAAAGTGATAGTAAAAGCATGAGTAAAAGTATTGCAGTATTTTACTCTAGGCCGCGGGATGCTGCAGCCGGGGGGCGCCGCGGCGGACAGAGGTTTGGAGGGCGGCGGCGTCAGAAGGCCGGAAGAAGACGTGTTGGAGTCCGGAGAACTGAGCGGAGAGAGGGAGAGCGAAGAGATCTCGAAACAAGAGAGGGAAAAGAGGAGAGAGGAGGGAGAGAAGGAGAGGAGGGAGGGGAGAGGGGGAGTCAGGAGAGGCTGAGGGGGGAGAGAGAGAGAAGAGAGCAAAGGGAAGGACGGAGGGAGGGAGAGAGGGATGGAGAGAGTTTCTTGTTAGTCAGAAATCAGAATATTTGAACAGAAATTACAATTTTAGTTTGCATAAATAGAGACTAAACAAAGAATAACACAGCAAGCAAGAATGAGTCATAATGTGGGCGAAGTGTCTTGCCCGTGGACACAAGGGTAGTTTTCTTTATGCTACGGCTGCTCCGCTGTGATGAAGAAAAGGGAAAGTTTTTAGCAGTGAACTTTCGGTCCTCAGACGTGTGGGTAATTACTGGTTCTTGTCCAGTTCTTGTCTGGAGCCTGCAGACCCGAGAAGAACAGAACAGAGAAGAGAGAGAGACGGAGAGGAAGAAGGGAGAGCAGAGGAGAGGAGAGAGAGGGAGAGAGAGAGGAGAGGAAAGAGAGAGAGGGAGAGAGAGATAGATTGAGAAAAGGGCAGAGAGAGGAGAGGAGAGAGAATGTGAGAAAGAGGAGAGAGGGAGGGCTAAAGGAGAGAGAGGAGAGAGAGAGAGATAGAGGAGAGAGGAGAGAGAGAGAGAGGGGAGAGAGGAGAGGAGGAGAGGAGAGGAGAGAGAGGAGAGATAAAGAGAGAGAGATAGAGGAGAGAGAGGAGAGAGAGATAGAGAGAGAGAGAGGAGAGAGAGAGAGAGAGAGAGATAGAGGAGAGAGAGAGAGAGAGATAGAGGAGAGAGAGAGAGAGAGAGAGAGAGATAGAGGAGAGAGAGATAGAGGAGAGAGAGATAGAGGAGAGAGAGGAGAGGAGAGGAGAGAGAGATAGAGGAGAGAGAGAGAGAGGAGAGAGAGAGAGGGAGAGACAGAGGAGAGAGAGTGGAGAGAGAGGGAGGGATAGAGGAGAGGAGAGAGAGACAGATAGAGGAAAGGGCAGAGAGAGGAGAGGAGAGAGAATGTGAGAAAGAGGAGAGAGGGAGAGCTAGAGGAGAGAGAGAGAGAGAGAGGAGAGAGAGACAGAGAGAGAGAGAGAGGAGAGAGGAGAGAGAGTGAGAGAGAGGGACAGTTAGAGGACAGAGCAGAGAGGGGGAGAGGGAGGAATAGAGGAGAAAGAGGGAGAGCTAGATCAGAGGGCAGAGAGAGAGGAGAGGCATGAGAGAGCAGAGAGAGAGGAGAGCGGGGAGAGATAAAAGAGAGCGGGGGGTGGGGATGGATAAAGGAGAAAGAGGGAGAACTAGAAGAAAGGGGAGAGATGGAAGAGAAGAGAGAGACAGAGCAGAGAGGGAAGAGAGAGGGAGAGGAGAGTGGAGAGGAGAGAGAGAGAGAGAGAGAGAGAGAGAGAGAGAGAGAGGGGAGAGTGAAGAGGAGAGACAGGGAGAGCTAGAAGAGAGGGGAGAGAAGATAGAGGAGAGGGCAGAAGGAGGAGAGGAGAGAGTGGGAGAGCCAGATGAGAGAGCAGAGAGAGGAGAGGAGAGAAAGGGAGAGATAGAGGAGAGAGCAGAGATGAGAGAGAGGGAGGGAGAGATAAAGTAGAGGGCAGAGAGGGAGAGACAGAGGAGAGAGCAGAGAGGGGGAAAGGAAAGGACAGGACAGAGGAGAGAGAGGGACAGCTAGAAGAAAGGGAAGAGACAGGGGAGAAGAGAAAGGGAGAGACAGAGCAGAGAGGGGACAGAGGGAGATGAGAGAGGAAGAGAGGAGAGAGCAAAGATGGGAGAGAAGAGAGAGAGATATAGAGGAGAGAGCAGAGAGAGGAGAGAGAGAGAGAGAGAGGGAGAGATAAAGAAGAGACAGGAGAGAGATAGAAGAGAGAGAGGAGAGAGGATAAGAGAGACAAAATAGGAGAGGGTAGAGGAGAGAGAGGAGAGAGAGGGAGAGAGAGAGAGAAGAGAGAGACAGATGGAGAGAGAGAGAGATAGAGGAGAGGTAGACAGAGGAAGAGATAGAGGTATCAGAGGCTCTCAGCTGGGCCTGGTTCTGTTCAGAATCACAGCAGAGACACTGAACTGTGGGAGGCTCAGGCTAAAAGAGGAAACTCACACTATTTCTGTTACACTTAGTCGTTTTTTGGGGGTTTTTTTGGTCTGGAGTTCGGTCGACTCGGCGGGGGGCATTCCTTTAATGTTAAAAGGAACATCTAGCTAAGTTAAGACGACTTGAATTTTAAGTTTGATCGTGTTTTGAAGTAGATTTCACTTGATAAGTAAAAGAATCAACGGAACAAGACTTTTGAAGCGCTTTCTGCTACGTCAAACGCGTCATCGTTGTAGCAGCTTTTGTTTGTTGTCATGTGGGAGGGTGGCAGAAATACACTGGAATTTGTAAAAAAAAAACAAAAAAAAAACGCAGAATCAATCCAAAAAACTCTATCTAAAATCTAAAATACAAGGCCCAAACATCACTCTTAGAAGGTACAAAGCTCTGAAAAGTTGAGTTTGCATGAGATGGGCCCTTTAAAATATAAAAATACATCTTGTTACACTTAAGATAAAAACCAAAACTTTGCACACAGTTTAGCTTGAATCAAGAAAATCACACTTATTCCATTGGTAGATTAGTTTACTTGTCAAGTTGAAGCAAAATGTTCTTAAAGGGATAGTCTGGAATTTTGGACATAGGGCTTCATTTCCTAGTGATCCAGAGTGTTGGAGACGTGTGGAGACACTTTTTGAAATATTCCACCCAGTCCTTGTATTTACAGAGGTCGCTGGTGCTAGGTTAGTGCATGTCAATGGTCATAGTTCTCCTGCCACTAAAAACAGTCTTACCCACTCCATAAAACACCCGAAACAAATCTATTATTACACCAGACTGTCCATGTGAATGTCTGTGTTGATAGAATCATTTTAGAAGTAAAAGAGGAGAAAAATTCAGTTTGTCGACTGGACAAAAGTTAGTTTGGTTGAAGATGTTTCGCAGCTCATCCAAGCTGCTTCTTCAGTTCTGGACAGACGAGAGAGCAGCAGTGGACCTCAGTCTGCTGTACATCTCCACGGGCCACTCATTTGAGGACAGCGAGGTACAGATTTTAGCCAGAGAAAAGAATTGGTTTGAGAGGGGAGTGAAAGAATCCATTTTTGTTAAGAAAGAGAATCTTTCTCTAAATAGAAATGGAGGCCACAGACACCAACTCTCTCCTATTTACAACTCCATCCTCAACCCTAAAACAAAACAAACAAGAGAACAACAGGTGTAGTCAGGTCAGGTCCAGAGGTGAGGAAGCTCCATTATGCGCCATGAATTGTTCTGCTAATTAGACCCCACCCCCTGTACAGGTCAATAGGCCTAATTAACTAAGAGAAACTGTAAACAAGTCTGTATTAGTTTCAGTGTAGTTAGCTCCTCCCTGCAGATATAAGGAAGTGTCCACCAGCATCTAACCAGAACTGAAGAAGCAGTTTGGATGAGCTGCAAAACGTCTTCAACCAAACTAACTTTTGTCCAGTCGACAAACTGAATTTTCTCCTCATGGATTCTACCTGGACGACTGAGGGATTCTTCACACATCTTTAGAAGTAAAACCAACCTTGTATTTGAAGGATTTATGTCTGAGCAGCAGCAGTGAGTTGTTCTTCCTGATAGAAAGCTCGGTAGCGGCGGACTGATATATGAGAAAATAGTCCCTTAACATGCAACGATTCACATGATGCAATGTTAGTTTTATTTCAAACATTATTTTATCAGCACAGACATTCACATGGACAGTCTGGTGTAATAATAGATTTGTTTCAGGTGTTTTGTGGAGTGGGTAAGACTGTTTTTAGTGGCAGGCTAACTATGGCCATTGACATGCACTAGCCTAGCACCAGCGACCTCTGCAAATACAAGGACTGGATGGAATATTTCAAAAAGTGTCTCCACATGTCTCCAACACTCTGGCTCACTAGGAAATGAGGCCCTATGTCCAAAATTCAAGACTATCCCTTTATTTTATTATTTATTTTAACTTGCTCAGATATTGCTTGTACTAAATACTATCTAAATTAACATAATAAGTTCATATGTCCCTGAATCCAGTAGCAGTAGTTATCTTGATTTAAGAACATTTTCGATTAATTTTTCTTATTTAAAGGGCAATAGAATCTGTCTCCTCATTTGAAACTGAAAATGTGTTATTTTTTTCTTATTTTAAGTAAATCAATGCCAGTGGCAAAACAGCCAACATGTGCTCACATCCAAATAATTACTACTCATCTCAAGCTGTTCTTAATTTTACTTTTTTTATTTTTTTTTTTATTATTCCAGTCTAGAGTTTGGTCATTTGGTTTGGTGCTGAGGGAGTTGTTTATTCATGGGATTATGGTGTGGTGTTTGTAGTGAGTTGGTTGGTTTGTGTGTGTTTGGTGAGAGTAGATTGTTTACAGTCTGTAGTTTGTTCTGACTGGAGTTGGTGGTGACAGTAGTTTGTTTGGGGTCCATAGTTTGGTCAGATTGGTGTTAGTGGTGACAGTAATTTGTGTTCCATCTGTAGTTTGGTCAGATTGCTGTTGGTAGTGACAGTAGTTTGTTTTCAGTTTGTAGTTTGGTCAGATTGGTGTTGGTAGTGACAGTAGTTTGTTTTCAGTGTGTAGTTTGGTTAAATTGATGTTGATGGTGACATTAGTTGGTTTTCTAATCTGTAGTTTGATCAAATTGGTGTTGGTGATGAGAGTGGTTTGTTTTGGGTCTGTAGTTTGGTCAGATTTGTGCTGGTGGTGATAGTACTTTCTTTCAGGTCTGTAGTTTGGTCAGACTGGTATTGGTGGTGGCATTAGTTGGTTTTGGGTCTCTAGTTTGGTCAGATTGCTGTTGGTGGTGTGAGAGTAGTTTGTTTTCAGTTTGTAGTTTGGTCAGGTCGGTGTTGGTGGTGACAGTGGTTTCTTTCAATTCTGTAGTTTGGTTAGATTGGTGTCAGTGTTAACAGTAGTTTCTTTTGGCTCTGTAGTTTGGTCAGGTTGGTGTTGTTGGTGACAGTAGTTTGTTTTCCATCTGTAGTTTGGTCACATTGGTATTGGTAGTGTGAGAGTAGTTTGTTTTCAGTTTGTAGTTTGGTCCGATTGTTGTTGGTGTTGACAGTAGTTTATTTCAATTGTGTAGTTTGGTCAGACTGGTGCTGGTGGTGACAGTAGTTTGTTTTCAGTGTGTAGTTTGGTTAAATTGATGTTGATGGTGACATTAGTTAGTTTTCTAATCTGTAGTTTGGTCAGACTATCGTTGGCGTTGACAGTAGTTTATTTCAGGTCTGTAGTTTGGTCAGACTGGTGCTGGTGGTGACAGTAGTTTGTTTTCAGTGTGTAGTTTGGTTAAATTGATGTTGATGGTGACATTAGTTAGTTTTCTAATCTGTAGTTTGGTCAGATTGTTGTTGGCGTTGACAGTAGTTTATTTCAGGTCTGTAGTTTGGTCAGATTGGTGTTAGTAATGACATTAGTTAGTTTTAGGTCTGTAGTTTAGTCAGATTGGAGTTGGTGGTGACAGTAGTTGATTTTCAGTTTGTAATTTGGTCAGATTGGTGGTGGTGGTGGTGACAGTAGTTTGTTTTGGGTCTGTAGTTTGGTCATGTTGGTGTTAGTGATAACATTAGTTGGTTTTCAGTCTGTATTTTGGTCAGATTGGAGTTAGTGGTTTCTTTTGGGTCCGTGGTTTCTTACCGGGGGGACATGAGCGATCATGAGCTGCTCCTCTAGATCCTGAAGCTGCTTCTTCAACTCTGCGTTTTCTGTCTCCAGCTCCTGAATCTGAAACAGAAATAACACTGAGAATGAGGCAGGAGACAGAACAGTGTGTCTGATGTAAAGTTCTGCCTCTAATAACCAGAAGGAAATGTCCACAGCTCTCTGCTACCTTCAAGGCATTCAGTTACGTCACACACACTCACACACACTCACACACACACACTCACTCACTCTTACACAGTGAGGGTGAGGCAGCTTAAGTGTCTTGCCCAAGGATTTAACATCAGTATCCATCTGTGAGAGCTGGGATTGAACATCCATTCTGGGGAACAGTGACTCAGTGTGTGATGTTATTACTTTACCTGAAATATTCCACACTATGACATTAAATGCATCTATCTTACATTTATTCCATTACAGGTGTTTTAAGCTCACGTTGGTTCACTTTGGAGCGGTCGGTATGACCTGAGAGAGACCTGAGAGTGTCTCCACTGTCTGACTCACTTTGTTTAGGAGGAGCTAGGAGATGATTAAAGGGAGAAGGGAGAAAGCAGACGCGAAAAGAAGACGGCAAAAAGTCAATGTAAACATAAAATAATCTCTCTCAAGCGCTGACTTGATCTTATGATAAATAACTAAAGTATATTTACAGTTATGACAACTTTATATGTGCAACCGACATGTTAGAGAAACAAAGCTAGTAAGTTAGACATGAAATAAATGCATCCAGTCCACAAAACAGAGCTGTTAATCCAGTTTGAGATGTTTTTTTAAGAATAAAAAGAATGAAAGTAGTTCACATATGTCTGTTAACCGTATTTTCCGGGCTATAGGGCGCGCTCTTAAGCCTCCAACCCATCAAAAAACGACCGCGCACCCCACAATCCAGAGCGCCCTATACACGCATCCACTCCGGTGTCCCAGCACGACTTCAGTAAACTGCAAAGCCGCACCACCTGCAGAACACACAAACACACACGGAGCAGACAGCGACCACACAGAGAAAAACACCCACAGACACACTCATCATTCCACGCCGACGAGGAACAGAACGGAGGAACGAACTGAAAAAGCGAGTGCAATGTGCCACTTCTAGACACGACTGAACAACTGAGTCACTGCGAACACGCCGACAATCCAGCGATCCCAGACACACCCTCCCTACACGCCACAACTGAACAAAGCCCAGAGTCACCGTGAACGCCACAAACAAACAAAACCACTCACCCATCACACTGTTGGGTTTCCTTTAAAGTCCAGTGCAGTTTATTTGTGAAAAAAAGTTTGAAAATAGACCATTTAATGACTTATTCCAGAGAGCATAATAGCCCGGAAAATACGGTACATCCACACAGCGCACAAATCAAGGTGAAGCTGCAGATGTGGATTTTATTGCCAATATTTATGCTTTACAAATCCTGTATCTGAAGTTTTGCACCACATTTCACAAATAATAATAATAACTCAGTTCTGACTTGTATCTAAACTAGAAGTGCAGAGCTCTGATCTTTGAACACTTAACAGTCTCAGAGCGACTGGTTTTATTGTAGACAGGAAACAACTGACGACGTCGCACTCACAACTTTATATCCTGATCTGCTGCATTCAGCACCACGGAGAGAGACATAAAACATGATGGTCAAAAGAGAGATACCAAAAAGTGTTAGAAAACCGGCATGTCTAAATGGAGGAATGTTGTAATACCAGGATGTCTCAATATAGGGATGTTGTCATGAAGGGATGTTGGAATAGGCGGTGGACCCCCAATAAAACCAAAACCACCCTCCATCCAAACCCCAAACTGTTCAGCGTGCTATATTGCACTTATCCACAGAGAGATTCGAACACAAAGCTCGCTGCATTCTGGTCATGCAACTCTGGCGTCTGGGTGAAAAAAAAAAGTCTGCTAAACTCTGATAAAATTTGATTTCTGTCATAACTAATGATCAGCACTGCATGAGTTATGTGGTCCTCTGTCTTTTATTTATTTTACTTATTTACTGCTATTTTATGATTCTTATGCTTTGACTTTGATTTGATTTGACTGTTTTTATTGTTTTAGGACTGGAATGACCATATTTTAGCAATTTACCTTTTTGTTGTTTTCATTTTCTGATCTCTGTGCAGCACTTTGGAAACTGCTTTGTTTGTAAAATGAGCTGTAGAAATAAAGAGGATTTGGATTTGGATTCAGTGTTGGCATATTGGGTGGGCATTGGGCTTCTTTTGACTACATCGGGAGGGGAGGGGAAGTCTTAGGCGGGCAGATAATATTAAAGCGACTTTCAACAAGTGTGGGCAGTTTTTGGTTTCACAACAGTCAACGTGATACACAATAACACGAGGAACTGTAGTGGGCTTTCACGTGCGCTCTGGCCTGTGCACAAATGAATGGATGTATGTGTAGGCAGACTCTGTGTGTGCAGCTGTTCTTGCAGTAGTCGAGGCTTTAGCCGACCATTGATGATATTCATTTTTAAGTGTGATGAAAACACTGTTCTATGTTTTACCAGGTTTTACAGAACACGTTTTCTCAATCTTCCGGTGGGACATGCCCAAAACACCTCCCAAGGAAGGCGCCAATGAGGCATCCGGGACAGATGCCCGAGCCACCTCAACTGGCTCCTCTCGACGTGGAGGAGCAGCAGCTCTACTCCGAGCTCCTCCCGTGTGACTGAGCTCCTCACCTTATCTCTAAGGGAGCGACCAGTCTGTCCCTGTGAAGGAAACTCTTTTCCAGCGCTTGTGTCCGCGATCTCGTCCTTTCGGTCATTACTCAGAGCTCATGACCAGAGGTGAGTGGAGGAACAAAGATTGACGGTAAATGGAGAGCTTCACCTTTCGACTCAGCTCCTCTTCACCGCAACGATCTGATACAGCGACCGCATCACTGCTGACGCTGCACCGATCCGCCTGTCAATCTCACGCTCCATCCTCCCCTCACTCGAGAACAAGACCCCGAGATACTTGAACTCCTTCACTTGAGGCAGGGACTCTCCACCCACCCGGAGAGGGCAAGACACCTTTTTTCGGTCAAGAACCATGGCCTCGGATTTGGAAGAGCTGATCCTCATCCCGGCTGCTTCACACTCGCCTGCAAACCGCCCCAGTGCACAGGTCCTGGTTTGAGGAAGCCAACAGGACAACATCAACAACATGACATCCTGTGGTCCCCAAACCGGAAGGAGGCCTCGGGGAAGACCCAGGACATGCTGGAGGGACTATGTCTCTCGGCTGGCCTGGGGGTCCCCCCGGAGGAGCTGGAGGACATGTCTGGGATGAAGGAAGTCTGGGAGTCCCTGCTTAGACTGCTGCCCCCGCAACGTGGCCCCGGATAAGTGGAAGAACATGGATGGATGGATGGTTTTCTCAATCCTGGCAATGGTTTTAAAAAGCCAATGGATGAATTATGTTACAACATGTTTATTCAAACATTGACTCAATGACATTTTTTTTTGTGATAAATGAAAATACTGTTTTACATTTAACGTGTTTTCTCAATACTGGCAATGGTTTTAAAAAGCCAACAGATTAAGTTACAACATGTTTATTCAAATATTGACTAAATTACATTTTTTTCTGTGATTAATGAAAATACTGTTCTACATTTAACGTCTCAATACTGGAAATGTTTTTAAAAAGCCCAACAATGGATTACATATGTTTATTCAAAGATTCAGTGTTTTCTGTGACAAAAAGTAGTTGGGCTTTTTTTTTGTGTGTGTGTGTGTTGTTGCTTTGTTTTGTTTTTTGCTGAAGAGGGCAGGTTTTTGAACGTTATTGGGTGGAAATCACTAAACCCAATCTGGCAGCACTGTTTGGATTTGAACTAATAATAACCATACAAGTTTATGTCAAGCTGGAATTCACGTAAACGGCTCTTTTAGCAGCTGGAGCACCGCAAACACCAGAACACTTTATTTAAGCGTGTTTTATTCATAAACACGGAGCGATCAATAGTCCGATAAACCAGCACTCTTTCTGCTTTCATTCAGTCGTGTTGTGTCCAGTTAAACACCTGTCGCTGTACACTGTTTTCCCAACTCTCGCACTGCACTGTGGTCTATATTGACTTGTCTAGAGCCCACCGGTGCCCACTACTTTTCAAGGTGCATTGTGGGAAATTTTGAGTGCACTACTTTTTCACCACTGGACATTTGGACCCCCATAAATAGTGCTCTGAGTAGGGAATAGTGTGGACATTCGGACACAGCTTTAGTATCACTAAACACCTTAAATAAAGTGACCAACATAAATAAAGTGACCAACATAAATAAAGTAACCATACATGAGTGAAATGACTGTAAAATAAAAAGCTGCGCTAAATCTGCACGTGTTTGATCGCTGAAAAGTTAAACATGAACTATCTCCTATACGACACAGAACAGACTCACCATCATCAGCACCTCTTCTGTCACAAAAAGAACACACATAATCCATTGAGTCGTGTCCTTTAGTCCGACAGAAGCTGAATTGCATCAGTGGCATGAAGAGCGAGCTAACAGTTTATGCAAATGAGTCATGCGGTTTTAAGTTTCGTTTCTGTAAAACGTAAACAAATGTGATCAAAGCTGAATTATTTGATCAAATGGCTGATGTGGATCTATAGTGGTTATGGTTTATATGTTGTAACTTAAACTTTCAATTTCAAATTTAATGAAGAATCTTTTGGGTTTGATCTGTACAGTGGATTGTGGGATATCTCATAGCTCCTTTATCACTGGTTAAACCTCCCGAGATTCCTCTGCTAAAAGAGCTCATAGTTTGTATTTTTCCTGGTTTATTTAATTGATTTTTGCACTTGCTGATTTGTACGATTATGGGTCTGGTCAAGCGGTAACGGAGGGAAACGGGCAGATTTTTGACATTCAAATGTCTCTTATTCAGAAACTAGAGGGACTATTGAAATAAGTAAAGTATCAGAATGTAGGAAAGAGTTACACTCCAACAGGGTCAAGTTAAACCTGTGATATTCTTTCAAGTTGTTGACAAAAAATTTAAAAACTCATGTCGGTAACGGAGGGAATGAAATATGCAGCACTTTTTGGGCAATAAATCCAAACAGTGATAACTCTTGGTTCTCACTTCCATATCCTTAACAAACTGGTTTGAATATTTGCTTCATATAGTTTTCTACCATATGGTACAAGATTAGGTTGAAAAACCTCTTACTTTTTGACTCATGAGATTTTTTATGAAGAAAGGTCATGGTAACGGAGGGAAAAGTAACGGAGGGAAAATTGTACAAACAAGTAGAAGGTGCAGGATTTTACATCATTTGTCGCTTTTTTCTTCTGAATACTTTAATATTACTTCAAAATGAAAGGAAACTATTTCTATAAAATATGTCAGTCCTTCCAAGCTAATTTGTATCATTTTAAATATTTATTTATTTTTTTTAAATCATGAACCTTCATCAACATTTCAAAGATGGAATAACACAAGATATGAAATACATCCATTTATTTCATGATTTGCAGATCTTTGAAATTTGGGAAATAATTTTTGTTCCATGTTTCATACATGGTCTGTTTAAAACATATGGAACTTTAGAACAAAAAATGGTACAGAAAAAAGGTCAACAGTTTCATAAACTAGAGTACATATGTATCTGTTCAATACATTTTTATATATATACTCCATTTGATCATGTACACAGAGATATGAGTAAAAAAGATGTAAACGCAGTATCCCGAATACTGACATAAACGGGATATGACCAATAACCGGGATACTGATGTGCCTGTATACACACTCACTAATATCCACAAAACTGACCTGCAGCTTGACCTGGTGGTGCCTGTTTCCATGGCGACAGATATTTAATACCATACTGTAGAAAATTCCAGTTAAAGTTATAAAATATTCATGAAGACAAACCAAGACAGGCCAGAAAAAAAAAAAAAAGTCAGGCAACGTCCATTTGAGTCACCCTCTTCATTATTTGTTTGTCTATTTTCAAATTTGTCTCATTAATTTTTCACACATTCCAGAGTTTTGCTGGAGGTTTTTTTTTCGTCGTGAATAATAAATGTATCTGTTTTGTTTTATTTGAGTAACATCTCAGTCAGCCGGAGCCCCCCTGTGCGTCGCGTTCGATCTCTGTGTTGATTCATGCATCAGGTTTAGACAGAAGTCCAATAACACCGAGGCAGTGCATCCATAACACTATCACGGAGTTATTTACAACAGCATCATAGAGTTATTTGCTGAAAACACCACAATCAATGGGACCGTTCTGTTTAAACCATTTCATCAGGCTCTGTGCATGTTTCACTCTGCTGGTCTGGAACATCTTTGAGTTACACTGACTTTTTTGTAATTCAGATTCATAAATTTGGATTCTGGTTTAGTCCTGGTTTAGTCTCTTTTAACCTCTTCAAAAACAGATCTGAAGTTGTGTTTTGTTTCATTCACACGTTTGAGTAACTCTTTCTTATTATTCTGTACATTTTCCAAGCTCGAAATGCTCTGTTCCACCTTGTGATGTCATGAAGTGGTAGTTTTCAAGTCAGCAGCTCCTTTTACCTTTAGCTTAGTAGAGTTTGGCAATTCCAGGGCTGAAATTATCCAAATTATTCTACTGAGGGTACTTTAAAAACACTTCCACTTGACATCACAAGGTGGAACAGAGTGTTTTCTGTTTCGGTTTGAGAGAAAAACAGTGCCTAAATGTGCAGGGTTTGTGTGAATGAAACAAAACACAACTCCAGGTCTGTTTGTGATGAGGAAACAACTTTACTACAGAGATCAGAAAATAGCACAATATAGGCCAATCCGTGTATCATTCCTTCATTCTTTTTTTAAAATAAAACCAAAAATACAAAAATGAAAAACAACCATTTTCTTCATTATTTGTGTCCAAAACCAAAATGAAAAAACTGATAACGATTCAGCTTTTCAATTTTTAGTTTTGTGTTTAAATAAATAATGGAAAAAAGTGAATAACGGCTGCTTCCCATTTCTGTGACAAACTGCGATGCCGAACTGAACCAGGACTGAACCAAGAGGACTAAACCAGGACTAAACCAGGACTGAACCAAGACTAAACCAGGACTAAACCAGGACTGAACCAAGACTAAACCGGACTAAACCAGGACTGAACCAAGACTGAACCAGGACTAAACCAGGACTAAACCAGGACTGAACCAAGACTAAACCAGGACTAAACCAGGACTGAACCAAGACTGAACCAGGACTAAACCATGACTAAACCAGGACTAAACAAGGACTAAACCAGAGCTGAACCAGGACTAAACAAGGACTAAACCAGAGCTGAACCAGGACTAAACCAAGAGGACTAAACCATGACTAAATCAGGACTAAACAAGGACTAAACCAGAACTGAACTGGGACTCAGTGTCGGAATGGGTTCGGTCGCCCCGTGTAGACCGTCGGGTGACCACAGGTGAAAGGACTAAGCGAGGATAAACTCAGCCGTCGTCCAATCACTCTTTGCAGACACCCTGCTTCACAGGCTTGGGGTCCTGTCTCTCTCTCTATCTCAAGTCCAACATTAGTCCTAGTTTAGACCTGGTTCAGTCCTGGTTCAGTCCGTATGCAACACAAAAGTCTGGCATCTCAATTTAAGTCACGGACACAGCTGTTATCTGTTTTTTCCATTATTTATTTAAACACAAAAAGAGAGAAAAGAGAAAAAAAAAAACTAAACTAATCATTATCTTTATTGTTTTCTTATTTGTGGTTTTATTTTGAAAAACAAATGAACGAATGATACACAGATTTAGGCTCTTTAATCTTTAATCTTTAGTTCTGTTAGGTGTTACTTCAGCTCTAGTTTAGTCCTCCTCTCTTGGTTTAATCCTGGTTTAGTCTCAGGTTAGACTTTAGTCCTGGTTTAGTTCTGGTTTAATCCTGGTTTAGATCTGTTTTAATTGTGGTTTAGTCTTGGCTTTGTCCTGGGTTTGATGCTGGTTAGGTTTCTTCTCAGTTTTCTTGGTCCATGTTTCGAACGGTTTTAGTCCTGTTTTAGTCCTGGGTTGGTCCTGGTTGGATCATGGTTTAGTCCTAGTCTGCTCTTGGCTTGGTGCTGCATTGATGCTGATCCTGGTTTAGTCCTGGTTTAGTCTTCATTCAGTTCTGGTGTGGTCGTTTCTACTCCACTGCTCTGGAAAATCTATTAGTTACACTGATTTTCTTCTGATAAATATTCATAACAAGAGTTTGAATCAATGATCCACATTAAGACCTGCTTTAGGCTTGGGTTAGACCTGGTTTGGTCCTGGTTTAGTTCAGCTTGGGTGTGTTCTTGGTCTAGTCTGGGTTTAATCCTGGTTCACACTTGCTCTCCTCCTGTTTCATTGTTTCTTATGCTTTTGTTTATCACTGATTAGAGGAGAGATAATTGCATGTGTACACACCGTAACAGATGTGTTTTCTGTTTTTTTGCACTAATATCGTGCAGTTTGAGCTTTAATTTCATGATCAAATACTGCCATGTATTCCTTTGATTTTTAGAATAATTGTACTGTTTATTTGTATTCTGACTAAGGATTTTGGTCTGTTTTTAAGGTACCGTATTTTTCGGACTATAAGGTGCACTTAAAATCCTTTAATTATACGTGCATCTTATAATCAGTGCATCTTATGTATTAATTCTGGTTGTGCTTACTGACCTTAAACCGATTTTATGTGGCATACGGCGCTCAAAAATCTGTCAAAATGTTTTAGTACGACTTTGGTAAACTATGAAGCCACACCGCTTGATTTGGATTGTACGGTTACTGTAGTCAGGAGCCTAACAGAGTAAAGGGTGAAGTATAGTTCTGCATCGACTTAACGCACACTGCTGCTGATGCCCTGTCACAGAAAAAACAAATATATTCCACTGAGTTGTGTCCTTTAGTTCGACAGGAGCTGAAAATCAGTGCACATGTAGCAAGCTGTTTTTTTCAGTGCTTATAGTTTATGCAAATGAGCCATGTGGTTTTATGTTTAATTTCTGTAAAACGTAAACAAATGTGCACAAAGCTGCATTAAACACATTATTACTCAATGTATATTTGAGTCTTCTTTGTAGGAAAAAAATACTACAAAATGATCCTCCCACATTCACATTCACCACGATGGAGGCAACGCCGGGCGAATTGCGCCACAATCTGCCGATGGATCATAGACACCTGGACTAAGAATCAGACTAAAGTGTCGTATGTTTGTTTGCTTTAATGTGCCTTATAATCCTGTGCACCTTATGTATGAAAATAGATGAGAGAATTCAACATTATTGATATTGCGTCTTATAATCCGGTGCGTTTTATAGTCAGAAAAATACAGTACACTGTATTGTCCCCATGTGTCCTCTGCATTTGACCCGTCCTTCAGTGTCTCTGGGTTAAACCTCTCAGGAGCAGTGGAAACCATCTCCAGATCTTGAGCTAGTCTTGGTCAGGACTATCTTGGCTGGAGAATTTGACGTGTTGTGCATGTTTTGAAATGTATTTAGTTACTTCACTCCGCTTAAGTACAGGATCAAACTTGTCAAACTAACAAAAGTCACTCATTGGTTTGTGTTTTTATGAAATACTCACTCTTTTCTGTAGCGTTCCGATCTGTTTCTGGTCTCCACGTCTTTGCCTCCTGATTCCAGAAACTTCTTATATGCCAAATCAAATGCCTGACCAATGGTTAGAGTGATCTCCTCTGCCTATAATGAGACAAAGATCAGGAGTCTGACCCACAACCTCCTTATGACAGCAAGAGACAGGGGAACCACAAGCAGTGGAGTCCTTACACATTTCTCGCTGTCGAACACGTAGCACAGGTGTTTGTTGGACTCAGAGTCTTTACAGATGAAAGTGAAAATGCGTTTGTCCGTTTTGTCGTCTGCGCAGAACGAGATCCTGTGGAGCTGACAGTTGTGCTGGACCTCCTGTCACACACACAAACACACACAACACACACAACAGGTTTAATATTTAACAGTGAGAGCAAATTACTGACATGATTACTTCTAAAGTACTCTTATTTCTACTGTGAGTACTTTATTTCCAAAGTACTAGCTCAGGAACCATCTCATCAAAAGCCAAAGTTCTTCACACTGTGACACTTTCTGTTCTAGAGTTTGATTTCATGTAAAACAGAGTATGTGTTGTTTTGGTTCACAGCTGATCTGAGTCTCACACCACAAGATGAGTCCTGTTTATCTTGACTCTGTCACCACACACTTCTGTGCAAAACACTCACTGCTGGAAGGGAAAAGGAACTAAAAGTTACTAGGCCAAGTAACTGTAATCTGATGATTACTAACACCAATTTTCAATTTCCAACTGTAACTAGTTAACAACTGTATTACTAAAAAAGTAATCTGATTACAGTAATCCCTCACTGTACAAATGACTTTACTAGTAAATAATAACTAACTAAATGCCCATGGCATTATAACAGGAGCTTTAAAACAAGCAAAAGTAGTACAATTTTAACCAGCATTAACAGGTGTGTAATACACAAGTGCACCACCAGAGAGCGCACAAGGGCCCCCATACAACTGTGAGGTGATCTCCAGTAATAATAGATTTATCTCATAAACACTGAGCTAACTGGTGTAGTACTAGTACTGCAGTATTCATGGATCCAAACAGTGAGGCCCTGAAGTAGGGAAGAAAACACAGGATTTTGCCTGAAAGTGAAACTGTGGGTCTTTAACAGCTCCAGTTACGGTAACACTAACACTCACAACTTTACACTATGATGGTTCATGTTCTGGAGTCTTTTCTTCACACTTCTGCCTAAACCGTCTGTTTATACAGTTTTCACAGACACTTCACTCAGTCGTGTTGAGCACAGTCCAAAGTGTGTGACTGTCCCACTGCTCTGTGTGGACTCACTGTGGTTTATAATGACCCTCCAGTGACCACAGAACACATGGTATAGTAGTAGTAGTGGTAGTGGCAGTATCTGTAGTAGTCCAACCCACACCCTGGTTTTGGGCTGAATAGTAGTAGATTAGTAGTAGTAGTAGTAGTTGTTGTTATAGTAGTAGTATTTGCAGTATTCAGACCTCGGTTTTGGGCTGAATAGTAGTAGTAGTAGTAGTAGTAGTAGTAGTAGTATTTGCAGTATTCAGACCTTGGTTTTGGGCTCGAGGATCTTGACTCCGTAGATGGAGATCTGTAGTTCCACTTTGGGAATCTTCTGTCCCTCAGATTTCTTTATGTGTCTCTGGAACTGACAAAAAACAAAAGTGTTACTGACTGTGGAAAATACTGTACACACATACTGCAACTGCGAGTACAAATATACACATAATCCTCTATGAAGACAGTGAGGAGGACACAGCCCTGTACTGGCAGGGTGAGCAGTGACTGTGCACAAAGCTGCATGAGATCTAAACTGAACGCCACACTTTTCACAACAAAGGGGCCGTCGTTGTTGAGGAAGTGCATTGCTCAATAACTCAAAAGGTTGGTAATTCAAAAACACCTGTCGGGTCATTTCAGGGCTGGCAGTGTTTCATGCAGACAATCTGATTATTATCCTGGAGTTATCAGATCATCCAAATGAAATCTGATGACAGTAATCTGATTTCTTTTTAAATTTCTGATTAAAAATGATGCAAAAATAAGCAAACTACTGTGGCAAAGACACAACTGAAAGACAAAATGTTAAATATTGAAAAGGTTATGTTCAAATTTATTGTACGTGTCACCTAGGGATGCAACCATATCCAATATAATATCAAACAGTTCTATACTGGTCTAACGATTCGATACACGTGTTCTTCCATGTGCGCTGTGTCATTTATTTTAGTCCAAAAGAAAAACAATTCTGTTGGCGTCCTCCTCAGATGCAGCAGAAAACAGCTTCATAGAGACTTACAGCTGAAATATTCTAACAGAGGAGGATTTTATCTTTCTGTCACTTTTTATTTTATGTTGATAGATCCTGAAATGACAAAGATATTCACTTTTAAATACTTTAGAATCACTTTTGGTTTTTCATTGGCTTTAATCAAATGAGATTGTATATACACACACGGGACACGACTCGTGATATACACCATCTATTTCTTAGACTATCTCATAAGTTTTACTCAGAAAATTATCCGTTGCAGTGGCGGTTCTAGGATTTTTCTGAAACAGGGACCATTAAAGGGCCACATGTTACATTCAGGAGCCAAATACACGGTACAACCAAGCACACAAATGATTCATTCAGTGTGGTGCAAATACAAGCACAAATGGTTAAATAAAGCCCTCTGCAGGTCTGTTTCTTCTTCCATTAAATTGACACACTGGGTCTACTGCCGCCAACAGTTTGGGGATGAAATTGCATCATTGATTATTGAATTCTCCGATTGTTCTCCTAGTCAGTTAATTGACAGAACAGGAGCACTTCAGGGGCCAATCAGATTAGAGGTGGAGCCCCTGTTGCCCCTCCCCTAGAACTGCCCCTGGTCCGTTGAGACATTTTTTATGTAATATAACACAGTTTTAGTTTAGAAAGAGGATGGGAGAGCACAGTGTGTGTGTGAGAGCACAGACTGTAGGGGGCAGTGTGGGAGGAGCTACGTACTGTCTCTGCTGGAGGAGGCAGAGCAGCACCAGCACAGACATGAGGTGTGTGAACTCAGAGAGACTCAGGAGGAAAAGAAATCATCAAATCATCATCAAAGAAGGAAAAGTCTGATAGTGTAACTCCCCTACAGTTTAAATTAAGAGTCGACTGGTTTATTATAAAATATAAAACAGCCTGAGAAACTCGGTTCTTATTTTCACTGAATCAAAATTCTGAGCTGTGAATCACTGAACCAAATGAACTAAAACACTTCACATATAAACTGTATGTGTTGTGAGTAATGTTTTATTAATATCATGTTAATACATATATACACACACACACACACACACACATATATATATCAAACAACGTGTTATTATAGTGTTCTCATTAGCATTTTTTTTTCGTCTTAAAATGTATCAAAATTGAATCAATATTGTGACCCATGTGTGGAGATATGCATCAGATCATGGGTAAACTGTATTGTTGCATCCCTCGTGTCACTGGTGTTTGTGATGATCGGATTTCTCTTGTGCTGCAAACTCACATCTGAAACCAGATCATTATGGGCTTATCTGATTATGCTAGTTATCTGATTTCTTCTGGCCATCTAAATGTACCCAGGGCGATGCTGGCAGCTAACGTTTGATCCTCATTAAAGTGCTGACACGAGTGAAACGTAATATTATGGATCGGTGGTATCGATCATAGTCGTGCAGATCTCTCACCGTGGGTCTGGGGCTGCGTGGATGTAAATGAGATTAAAGCTCAGATGCAGATTTACAGTAGACGTCGTGAAGGCGGCCGCTCTCACTCTGCTCCCGTCAATAACTAATCTGCTATTAAAGGGGTGGGCACGCTCTTACAGGGGCAGGAGGCTCTTAAAGGGGCGGGTGCGGTCTTAAATGTAAACTGTTTACAGACATGGACTGAGGGAGCACGATGTCATCAAGCCAAGTCAGGAGCTTTATTTCAATGAGGTCGCCCCCGCTTACGTTAGCAACAGGTTTGATTGACAGTGTTGCTAAGAGCCCACCCCGATTCAAACAGAGATGTGACAATAATCAATAATTATCATCATATCATATCGTCAAAAGTCTCACAATAATATCCTGGGACATCACAATATATCAAATTATAGGTCTTTTTGTTTTAATTAATAGTTATTTATGTGTTTTTATGTCTTTCTTTGTGATTTTTATGTTGTTGTTTTTTTTTCTTTTCTTCTTCCTCTTTTTATTTTGTAAAGCACCTTGAAACACTTTGTGTATGTGTATGTGCTATATAAACAAACTTGCCTTGCCTTGCCATGGTGTTGCAATACAAATGTACAAACAAATGGAACTACCGCAAGTTCTGATTGTCCTTACTGACCTCGAACCAATTTTACGTGGTACACAGCGTTCAAAAATTCTAAATCAAAATGTTTTAGTATGACTTTGGTAAACTACGAAGCTATGCCACAATCTGCCAATGGATCGCGGGCTAATGGACTAACGGTCTCAGGAGTCGTCCGAGCTTTCATGAAGGCCAGAATCATCTCTGAACTACTAAGTAACAGCGACGAGACTGACTCAGATAATGGCGAGAGGGATCCGGGCTTGATGCCGAAATTGTCCAACTGTTAAACTCAGACACTGAAGATGAAGAATTTGATTTGTGGAAGAGGAATGAACTGAAAAAGTGGGTGTATTGTTTTGTGTTTTATGTGTTACAACTGAACAATGTTGAAAGTTCTTGCGAATGAGTTGAATAAGTTTCGCTTAACGTGCTTTATAATGCAGTATGTATTCATTCTGGTTGTGTTTACTGACCTCAAACTGATTTTATGTGTTTCACAGCGCTCAAAAATCTGTCAAAATGTTTCAGTACGACTTTGGTAAACTACAAAGCCGCACCGCTTGATGGATTGTCGGAGCATTACAGCTACCGTATTGAGGAGCCTCGTGGAGTAATCCACATTTACCAAGACAGGGAGGCAACACCGGGCGAATTACGCCACGATCTGCCAATGGATCATGGATGCCTGGGCTAAGGATCAGTCTCGAGTGTCGTCTGAGCTTTCACAAAGGCCTGAATCATCTCTAAAATACTAAGTAACAGCGACGAGACCGGGATCCAGGCTTGATGCCGAAATCGTCCAACTGTTAAACTCAGATACTGAAGATGAAGAATTTGACATATTTGTGGAAGAGTAATGAACTGAAAAAGTGAGTGTATTGTTTAGTATTTTATGTGTTCCAATTGATCAATGTTGAGAGTTCTTCTGAATGAGTTGAATAAAGTTTCGCTTAATGCGCTTTATGCCCGAGCACCATTCTGGTTGTGTTTACTGACCTCGAACTGATTTTATGTGGTACACGGCCCTCAGAATTCTGTCAAAATGTTTTGGCATGACTTTGGTAAACTACAAAGCCACACCACTTGATGGATTGTCGGAGAATTACAGCTACTGTAGTCAGGCGCCTTGTGGAGTAAAGAGCGAAGTATAGTTCTGCATCGACTTAACGCACACTGCCACCATCGCCTTGTTGCAGAAAGAACACACATAATCCACTGAGTCCTTTAGTCCAACAGAAGCTGAACCACATCAGGGCACAAGGAGCAAGCTGTTTTTTTCAGAGCTTATAATTTATGCAAATGAGTCATGTGGTTTTAAGTTTAGTTTCTGTAAAACGTAAACAAATGTGCACAAAGCTGCATTAAACACATTATTACTCAGTGTATATTTGAGTCGTCCTTAAAGGAAAAAAAAAAAAAAACTTAAATGATTCACCCACATTCACATTCATACTCTGCATTCACCAAGACGAATTACGAATTACGCCACGATCTGCGAATGGATCGTGGACGCCTGGACTAAGGATCAGTCTCAAGTGTCGTCCATTTATTTTGCTTAGTACGCCTTATAATCCAGTGCATCTTATAATCCGGTGCACTTTATAGTCCGAAGAATACGGTACAGAGACCATGATCCTTTGCTGTTGTCAGTGCAGACTACATGAAGAAATAACTGTTATTAAGCACTTTTAAATCTTAATCCTTCATATTATAACAGCACCAAGGCATTTTGAAAGGAAAAAAAAAAGTAGCATATTCACAATTTTGCAAGACTCCATAAAATGAACTTTGAGATGTATGTCGTGAAAATATCGTATGGAGGGATTGAGATATTGTTACATCTGTAGTCCCAAACCAGTGGTGCGGGTGAGCATTACTTTCAACAAACCTCACTCCTAACTGGCTCTTCGGTTGCTATGATACTCACACTTGTATTTCCAAATATGGATCTTGGCTCGGTTGTCTTCATTTGGATGGAGCTCATGACTTGAAAATAGTGAAATAAAACCCCAGGATCATGTGGAGAGGTTTAATACTAGAGCTTTTTATGACTTTGTGTGTTCAAATTTTGCCATAAAAGTTCTTGTCTTGTTGTTTTTACTAGTTAGGCAAATGGAAAGTGTATTTTGTCTTAAGGGAACATTGCAGATTCTGTTAGTGTGTTATGTAAGTTAGTTACAGGGTTCAAGACGAGGACAGAAAATGCTGCTTAACACTATCATATACACAGTGTATAATTTATAAGGCAAGTTGTATCTAAAAGGATTCATTTTATAATTGAACAACTGCAGACCTCTGGGTCAATCCAAAATGTTAATAAACCACAA